ACTACTACACTGCTACACTGCTATACTCCTAAACTGCTATGCTGCTACACTTCTACACTGCTACACTGCTATGTTCCCAAACTGCTGTGCTCCCAAACTGCTATGCTCCCAAACTGCTATGCTCCCAAACTGCTACACTGCTACACTGCCTATACTGTTACGCTACTACACCATTTCACTGCTACACCACTACACTGCCACACTACTTAACGACATCATAGTCCCTATAATCACAACACTCCAAAAAATACATATTTCTTGATGGATATTATGGGTGTCCCCCTTCCCCCTCCCCCCTCCCCCCTTTTCCAACATATCACTTGACGGGATGGAGAGATTTTTCCATAGGCAAACAAAGCAGGATGAGAAGCCAATTTACTAAAACTTTTTAATATACTTTTTCCAGGTCTTTCCTTCAGAGTTAAAGGCTGAACAAAGAATGTTGGCAGGTATGAATTGTACTAATTTACAATTCGTCTGTAAGTGGACTGGCACATCGACAAAGTCTCATGACTTACAGTCATTCTTAACTAGACTGGTTTTCAGTAGCGGTAAAAGTACAAGCGCTTGTGCTCTCGTCGTAGTGAAAACACCCTTTGCAATTTGTTGTTGCGAGGAACAAATGATATTTTGGTGGATGTTGATCAAAGTTTTTCCATCACATTGTGGGAAAACACAAGGTTTTCAAGGGCAAGTGCCTGACACGTGCTATGGTACATCGTGGAAATGGCTTGACTGACCTCTATCAAAACCTTTTATAAAACAACTAATATCTCTCGCGTTGTGATTGTTTGAGAGCGCGTGCTTTATGAGAGCGCAAAGCAGTGCGCACACTTTCAGTTGCGCATTCCTATCTAAAATAACTGTTATTGTAATTTGTATTTTATTAAAGAAACTAAAAAGTTGCTTGCTCTGCTGTGTATAGTTAGAGCAGTTTTCGCATGACTGTGAAAAGCCCAGTGTCGTAAGCGTGCCGTGCCTGGACCGTGATGTTTTCTAGAATTTTAATTGGCTGATTTTTTTCTCGCGCAATGTGATTGGTCTGACAGTGCCGTGACCTGTGACGAATTTCGTGACCGTGTCTGCGTCGTGTTAATGCCGTGTTCCGGGTATTCGATTGGATGGAGAATAAATTCTCGCGCAAAGTGATTGGACTGGCGTACGCCTTGCCGTGTCACGACCGTGTCCTTGCTGTGAGCTTTTCACAGTCGTACGAAAACTACTCTATTCGAGAAGCACTCCGCTACGTGTCGTACTCTCTTGTTCTGCAAACCCCCGCGTGCTTTATGTGTGTGCATTTTCTATTTCTTCACTTGGTACGGATGACAATTCCGCGCTTGAAAAGCACTGCAATAACAGAGCAGGAACTTGGTTTACATTTTTCAAATATTTTTCAGCAGGAAGTTTAGATACGACAGCTGGTGAAAGAAGACCGCTGTTGGACGAGAATCCAAGGTAAGATTAAAACCCTGAAATGATTTGGAATGTAGCGTGTCTGGTTTTAGTGGTGTATCTTTATCACATCTTTAGAGCCTGTCCTTTGATTGGCTCAGCTCTTTTGTGTTCAAATCTTATACTTCCCTTAGTATTCTTATCAATTCTCCACTTTGATTGTGCGTTGGGCCTTTACATACAATAACAAAAAAACATAAAAAACTAAACCTTTTGTTTTCAGTTCTTACCACACCCGAACATGGCTAACAGAGCAATCATCTTTCTACACTCCATACGGATCACCACCCAGTAAGTATAGGCTAAAACAAGTATTCGTGAGAGATTGAATAAATAATTCGTCCTTGTTCGGCAAGGGTAGCACTTACTGCAAGTTTCAATATAAAGCGAGCTCTGTAGGTGAGAGTTGCCCGTTGGAATCTGTTTTTCACTACATTGTTAATTAACGGAAGCAAAGTGGCTAGAAAAGCTTTGGCCCTTGTTTCATGATCGAATTGGATTTTAGAAGTTGATTTTGCAGAAACCTGAAAAACTCCGAATCACAGGAGAAAACAAATAAACTATTCTATTCACGTGCTACAACGCCAAGTCCTGGATTCGAACCCGGGTCACACTAGTGAGAGGCTAAGAACCTATGCTCCAATCATTAGAGAATTAGGACTGAGTAAACATGTTTATATAGGAGGAGCAAGTTTGGCTTGGGTATTTCTCTAGTAGAAGTACACGAGGTATAGCCCCCTGAGATCATTTCACACCCTTTTCTTGTGAGCTTGAAATACGTTTGGAGAAAGAAAAAAAAAAAAAAAATAGATTCTTAAAAGCGCATAATTTTTAAGACTTATACAAATGCAAACTAATCTATCTATCTATCTAGGTAACATAAATTAATTAGAATAATGGTACCATGTGGGTCTACTCCCCACCATGAGCGCTCCAAGCAAGAATACACTGCACCTCAAGACAAAGGGGGCTGTGGGATTGTTACTTTTACCCTCATCTTCTCAGTCTTCTGGGATAGCATTTAGAACTACAGGGTGTACAGGTGGGGTCGTTAGCCCTTTGTTCGACTACCAGCCTAGAGCACAGTTGCAGTATTCATCTTGCTTCTACGGCTGAACGGAGTCTGCCAAGGAAGATTATTTACATCAGGGACAAAAAGCCCCATTGTACGCACATACTTAAAACAACCTTCTTAATAAAAAACTTTTTTCAGGTTCGATTACAAGCGAGGATGAAGGCGAAGATGCTAACGCGCAATTGTCATCAGAGGTTAATAAATTTGTTTATTAATCACACAAATTATCTACCTTTTCAGTATAAACATAACGTTCAAAGATACTGGTTGGTAAAAATTATCACTCGTTTGCTGGGGAGGAGAGGGAAGGGGGTTTAAAGTGAATTTAGCTAACAGTTGAATATTAATTTAGAATGATAACGTTTACTCTGGACACTTTTTCTCTGCCTTCTAGGACGTACACTTCAAAAGAAAAGCAAAAGAAATATTCGGCATCGCTTGGGATTTACTGACAGTTGATAAGAAATGGAAGCATGAAAAAAACAAGGTTTATAGAATAAAAATAAACTGTACTGCAAAATACATATTTAATAATTGTTCACATGCAACGTTTGTTTGTTTGTGTGGGTGTGTTTGTTCGGTTTTTGTTTTGTTTGCTTGTTTTTAATTCAAGAAATGTAATATCTAATCAAAGGCTGACTAAGGGTGCAGATATATATTATTATATTATTATTTATATAATGATGAATGTCTTGAGCTTTTTCCAGCGGTGTGAGTACATGCCAATGGTATTATATTTCCAGTATTCTACGGTGCGTCTTATGAAGATGCATCAATTTTTAAGACAAATTTTGAAGAATAGCGAAAGTACTGTGGCAATTTAATGGCTCTATCTCTGAACCAATCGAAAAGCGAGAAATATCGATCAGCCAATCACAGTGCTCAACTGAATACGAAAACCATTTGAGAGTATACCTTGCAAGATAAAAGCTTAGTCCCTTTTTAGTGAATGACATCAAGGACCCTTTTTAACATCTTTCAACAAACATGGGTTCATGGGATTGATTTTGAGAATGTTTGATTCGATTGCTGGGATTCAAGGTGCAATATTTTTATAAAACTGTATTTTTTACGCTCGGGTCCTAAATATATTTGTAGGATGGTATAATCGTGGAAAGTTGTATTCTCAAGGATACAGGAAAAATGTTTAAAGTTCAGGTACGTTTATTTTCTTATGAAGAAATAATACTGTAGCTCCAGAGAAAAAAAACAACACATCAAACGAAACCTTTTCAGTGCCCGAGGCGAGAGTTCAACCCATGACCCCTCAGAGCCACAGCATGAAAGTCAAGAGGAACGCCCGTCTTACCGCTACCCGCTCTAAAATGCCACCCATGTTGCTGTATAGCACGTTTGATTTGATGTTTCACTTTTTTTTCAGTGTTCCATAGATGCACCACCTTCAGTTGTCTTTTCCCTGATAGTATTACGTGTAGAAGACGGACCAAAGTGGAACAGCTCAGTCGCAGAATCTAGAGTAAGTAATGCATGCCCTTTCGCTGATATTGGTAGGTTACAAAGATAAATGACTCATCACGAATGAACTTGCTTTCAATCATTTTTATGTCCCTGTATCTTACCCGTCTCGGGTTCCGAACTATGTTTGGAAATTCCAAAGTTGCGACAAACTACGGAACTTCGGTTTCCGAACTAATTTAACTTGGAAAGAAGTTCGTTATGAACTTGGTTGGCTTATTTTGCAGCAAACAAACTTGAATTTTCAGCCAGAAGCTTCTGGATTTTCTTTGCGATGTTCATTCGGGAACTTCGAATTTTATATACTAAACTAAGTTCAAACTTCGGCGAGAAGTTCTAAAGTTCATAACGTTATGTTATATGTAGTTTTGAGAGTGTTGAGCCGAGCTGAATACACTTGTCTTTTTTTTCCAGGTTTTACATAAGATTGATAATCATACTGATATATGTTATAACGTTACGACAGACCAAGCTGGTGGAATGGTGTCAAGTAGGTGAGTATCACGTGTATCCCCTCCCCTTCGAAAAACAAAAAACAAAAATTACCGCAAAGGAACAGAGATGTGTAGAGTAGCTACAGACTAGAACAGGAATAGAATGATTCCACTGCGCCTGCGATTTTATCCCGAATTTCTCACCTTCTTTTGTTTAATTAAGAACAAAAGAAGGTTTAGACAAAAGAAGGTGAGAAATTCGGGATAAAATCGCATGCGCAGTGGAATCGATTCTTAAACTATGAAAAGGCTTATTGAACAATAGATTTCCAATTCTCAGGATATTGAAATTCTTTCTCCTCCAAATCGGCCTTTTGCAATAGATTGACAACATAGGGGAGGCCTTTTAAGCTTCTTTAAGGGTTGCACAGATTCCAAAATTCGAAACACTTGACGTACCACCTTATGGTATCGTGAGAATAAACACCATTACACCTATTTTCGAAATTACTTGGAAATTTGATTGACGGAACCTAAAACCCAGACGTCTGGATCGATAGCTAGTTTGTATGAAAACTGGTATGAAAGCTTTTTTTTCTTTTGTAATTTCCAGGGACTTTGTTAACTTGCGTCACTGGCAAAAGAGAGGCAAGGCGTATTTTTCGTGTAATGCAAGCGTCGAGTATCAGGACATGCCACCTGTCAACGAGCACATTAGGTATGTCCAGAAAAGTAGAAAATATATGTTGTTTTTTTTTTGGACAATGAAATCTTGTAAAGTGCAGTAAACGTCCAAGGCCTTCCCTATGACATGTGAGGAAAGATGTACGACTGAGTGTGCGACACCAGTATAAGCAACAGCAACACACACAGACTCAGTGCAGCTCGTTTTTGGACAATGAAAGCGCAGTAAACGTCCCAGACTCCCCTTTGATGTGCGAGTAAAGATGTACAACTGAGTCTGCGACACCAGCATAAGCAACAGCAACACACACAGACTCAGTGCAGCTTGTTTTTGAACAATGAAAGCGCAGTAAAGCGCAGTAAACCTCCCATACTCCCCTTTGACATGCAAGGAAAGATGTACAACTGAGTCTGCGACACAAGTATGAGCAACAGCAACACACACAGACTCAGTGCAGCTCGTTTTTGGACAATGAAAGCGCAGTAAAGCACAGTAAAGCACAGTAAACGTCCCATACTCCCCTTTGACATGCAAGGAAAGATGTACAACTGAGTCTGCGACACAAGTATAAGCAACAGCAACATACACAGACTCAGTGCAGCTCTTCGACAACAAGGATGAGAAATATAAATTGTGCTTTTGAGCTACACACACTGGAACCTCTATATGCTGCTCATGTTTATACTTTTTGCTAGTGAAAAGGCAAACGTTTTTATTATTTTTTTGAAGTGAACCTAACAAACGCGAGAAAAACCTCCAACAATAAGCCTTTTCATAGTTTAAGAATTGATTCCACTGCGCATGCGATTTTATCCCGAATTTSTCACCTTCTTTTGTTTAATCAAGAACAAAAGAAGGTTTAGACAAAAGAAGGTGAGAAATTCGGGATAAAATCGCATGCGCAGTGGAATCGATTCTTAAACTATGAAAAGGCTTATTAATCAATAAGTAATCTCTTGAAAGTACTTTTCGCCATATATGTGTTTATTGTTATATTTAGAGGTGAGAATCATCCAGGTGGGTGGCTGTTTGCTGAAAATGAAGGCCATCACGACCAAACAGATTTTGTAATGTTGGTAAACACGGACCTTAAGGTATGCGGTAGGTTAAACTGCACATGCGCTTGAGCCATTGTTCGTAAACTCATTAGATTAAAAAGTACGTGTTTGCGCTAACGTGGGAAAATAACACAGATGTGGTATTGTAGATTAAAAGTAATGCACTTGGGCCAATGTTAATAAAAAATGACCTTGACGCATGCGGTAGGTTAAAAAGCGCATGTGCTTGCACTGATGTTGTACGCATCCACTTTGCCAAAAAATGAAGAAATAGGATTTGAAACATTACCTTGCATACAGTGGTTCTTTTTCTTCGCCTCCAAAAGGCTGAAAACTTTTTGCCCCTAGCAAGAGGGTTAACTATTATATCTAACAGTGTTTCTTTCGTTTTAGGGATGGTTACCTCAATACCTTATTGATCAAGCCATGACAGGAGTCTTGTTTGGAACAGCTGATTGTCTACGTAATTACGTCCATTCTCAGAAGTAAAGCAAGGCGAGTGTGCCATAATTGTGCAGATAGGTGCTGAATGCAGCATTGCGCCTGACATCTTGCATGTCAGAATGTCTCATAGAGGTAAACGCATGGAGCATATTTGTTATTGATGAAGAAATCATCATGCGCAATGAATCTTCGCGTTAAAAGGAGTTAGAGTATAGAGCTAGAAATGCAACTGATATTCAGGTACGGTTAACTCAGTCAAGTTAGAATTCAATGTGCTTTTCTTTATTATGTTTTTGTTATATTAATTGTGGTTAGATTTTTAAAATGTGCTTAACACTTGACATATTAGTTACATTTAGTTGTGTCTCTGGTTGAGGTCCGTGAAAATTTCAGAAGGATTGGTCAAGGATGGAGATCCAAAAAAGGGTAGCAAAATGACTGGGTATATAGGGACTGCTAAAAAATCATTCCATAATTCACAGACACCGGCAAAAAATTACAGGAAAGTCCAAACTGAGAAACAAAAATAGGCATCCTCACAGAAATATGAATAGTTAATGAAAATTTAGCCTTTTGTACGAATAGGTAACGTGACTCGCAACCCCTTAAATCAAAACCAAAAAGTTAACAAAAAGTCCAAACTGAGAAACAAAAATGGGCATCCTCACAGGAATATGAATAGTTTATGAAATAGCCTTTTGTAATAATAGGTCACGTGACTCACAACCCCCTTAAATCAATTACCCCAGCGTCAAAATGAACTTCAAAAGCGAAAGAGCACTTTAATATTAGCCTTTCTGGTTGAGGATGAGCAAAAAACTAGGTTAAGTTGCAGTGCATTGTGGAACTAATTTAGGGGACATATTTCCAAGATGGCTTCTATTTCCTCCTCTAAAACAGCCCCACAATGCACTGCAATGCCAACTTGACCCAGTTTCCTCAGTCATGGTACTGCTAATTAGTAAGAAAGCAAAGTTTCAGCTTAAAATGTTTGACCATAACTTGAAAATTCTAATAGAGGCTTTGCACCATCACGTGATGGCAGCCATGACACGAGGCACAACAATGGAGTATTTATCTAGGAAACTGAATCCTTTTTCATGTAAATCAGATTAGACCAGATTGAATTGTTCCTGCCTCCTGTCATAGCTGCCATCACGTGATGGTGCAAAGCCTCTATAGGATGCGTTTGGGAAAAATATACTGGACAGCAATCTGGTGCTGTCCATTGCATTTTTCCGCACAAATTCTTTAAAAAAATATATATTTAATCTCATACTTTATGCCATTTCTCCTATGTCACATAGTATGAGCTGAAACTTCTTACCAATATCAAGACGCTTTCTTATTTTTTTGGAGTTCATTTTGACACTGGTGTTTGATTTAAGGGGGTTGTGGTCATGTGACCTATTAGAGCAATTATAATTTTACAAATGTACAAACGATGGTGAATTTTAGTTTTTGTTTTTTTAATTTATTTTTTTAATGTAATGCACCAATATTTATTCCCTTCTTATAACTTGTATTACTGTACTACTGTATTACTGATTCATTAATTTATCTTCAAAGAAAACAGATCTAAATTATTTTTATTTGATTATCAATAATAATTATAATCTTCATTGCATAAAATCAATAATCTTTTGAATATTTTAAAACACATTGAAATATCTTACGTCTAAAATTGACCCTGGCAAGTCATGCCAAAGACATATTTGGTCAGCAGTAAAAGGGTTTAGGTTCAACCTAGTGCTGGGGGTAGGTAACTCATGTTTTAATTTTTGGTCTTCCCTGTGGAAAGAAAATGACAAATTAAGACGGAATAAGATTACATGGTTTATCTGGATATGACTTCATTTGTATATTGCACTTGGTATTACTTAGAAATTATTCGCAGAAGGGTAAATAAAAAGGCAGAATTTCGGTGAATATTTACCAAGGCGTTGTCGCAGTAAATATTTACCATGTTCACTGAGCCCAAGGTACGTAAATCATTATCGGAGAAAAGACAAAATTCAGGACTTAAAAAAACTTTTTATTATTACTGCTTTGGCAAACCTCATAATTTATGACTCCAATTTTTCTCAGTGGAATTAAAATCTTGTCCCACAAACAACTACACAGTACCATTTCCAAATAGTACTATAAGGATTACAAGGCAAATTTATTTTATTTTCACAGGACAGTAAACAGTTAAAACCATTTACAATCAATTTTCAACAATCAGTGTTTTAAATTTAGAGATATTATTCCAGTTAAGTTGTTGAACTTGTGGGACATAGCAACAGTAACTAAGGGGAGTCGGAACAATGAATCAAAGCTCGGCCAGTGATTATTGTCTAATCAATTTATACAACTAATGATTAATATTATCTAGGATAGAGATAGGATAGAGAATTACAAATCAAGATTTAGTAAATGTTAAAATACTGTGTAGTCTTAAAATAATAGTTTCATTTATAATGAATAGAAGTTTTATCAAAGTTTATAAAGATTTTTATTACACATTAAAATTGTGATTTTACCACATTTCTGTGGGTTTCCTCTTTTCAAAGTTATATTTTAGCTAGCTTGTCATCCGTCCTGAGTAAATAAATGTCAGTCATCTAGTAACCCTTATGACAGGCCGCCATCTTTGTTTAACGACATCATGATAAGTATCTTCTTGCCAAAGCCTGAGAGGATCAGAGGAATCAAAACCTATGTAACAAACAGGTGACGTAATAATTTATTCATTCTTTCGTATAATATTGTTTTTCTATCTTTTGTCTTCAGTGGTATTCATTACACACATGAGAATAGATCCCTTCGCATGTGACGTCAAAGCAGCTCAATTTGGAGGACAAAATAAAAGAATTTCAATCCCATGAAAATAATTGGAAACCAATTGCCATGTCTTCCAAATTGAGCTGCATTCCAACATGCTGTAAGGGGTGTATACAGCTATTCCAAAAAAAAGATTGTGAAGGTTTTGTTACATCCCAAGCTTGGGATGCATTGTATGTGTTATGAAGCAAAGAGCCAAACATCACAATAACATAGATTACCCTAAACTTTGTTTGCACATTTTCTGACATGATTTCTCAAGTGCTGACATTATTTACATATTAATATGCTGATCGATACATTTCAACAAAAAATTTCACCAAATTTTTTGAAATAGCTGTATATTGTACATCAACCTAGCGCAAAGTTCCCTCATAAGAATTCAACTCGTATAGAATTGTGAATCTTCAATTTTGAAATCCTCCGTTCAACGCGAATCGAGTTCGACATTAGATCCATCTTGAAGAAAGCTAAAAAGTCGGCTTTAAGGCATTGTTTGCAACTTAACAGCAGGCTCAGTATGAATGAGGAAAATAAACCATTAGGTAAATAAATCTGTGCAGTAGTCCCATTTGGGCCATTTCAGTGTTTTGGTGTACCTAACCATGCTGAAAGTCAATACCACAATTTTCCTAGTCATCCAAAAAAACCTGTGAGTTTATCTGTAAATTGTGTGGATAAATTTCACAGTAAGCTGGTGGTATATTGTACCATGAACATAACACATGACAGTTCTAAATTGCTCTTATAAATAGTTTAATTATTTGCAACGCAATGTTCCCCTTTAACTTTGCACTTACAGCTATTTCAAAAAATGTTGAATACTAAAATACTGCACACTAAATGTCAAAGAGTGCAAACAATCCGTGAAACACTAAGTACTAAATAGTACAAAAAAGTGCTAATTAAACAATAGAAAACAATGGAATTTGGATGAAATTGTGCTATTTAGTATTACCAAAGTTTCACGGTTATATTGTTTGCACTCTATGAAACAATATACTAGCTACATATATAGAGCAAATTGCTGTATAACCGTATATTTACTTTTTTTATTTTAAATTAACGAGACCTACAATGCCCTGTGGTCTTGGAATGCACTATTCAGTAAGCAGTATTCAGCATTCAACATTTTTTTAATTAGCTGAATACCCATTTTCATTATTTCAAGACCAGCAAATCCCAAGACGTCTGGGCTTCTGGCTTCGCTTCTGTCAAAAAATAGCTAAACTGGTTTTCAATAGCAGAGCAAGCACAAGGAAAAGAACAGATAATTTTGATCATTGTGCTAAGTTGTGCTTGCGTTGAATGAAGCAGGCACTGCAGATAGGGGCAAATAAATCACCTGAGGCCCATCGATAGAATATCGTAACTTCTAGAATTTTAATCTCAAAGCTATTTACAACTACATCTGTTGGGTGGAGTTGCCGTTCCAAGTGTTATTTTCATCATCATCATCGTCTTTATTTCTTAAGCGATGAATATTCCCTTCTTTGTTTGCGATACCTTGGTTACCAGTGCGCCTTCTTAAGTTGCTAGAGTCAGTTCTGAAAGAGATCAAGAAGTATGAAGAAAATTGAGGACGACCGATAATCTACATGTATGACAGCATTAACTAAAGATTATTACACAAAGAGAGATACAGCTTTATCTTTCTTTTTTTTAGGAGTTCCTTTTTTAAATCCAGGAACAGAAAATGGTGAGTAAAGTTGCATAGCAGTATTACGAAATTTTGGAATATGAGTAACTGGAGATTATTACGGAAAAAAAAAGAGTATGAAAACCAGGGTCTTTATGATTTTAGGCATTTTCCAAGTCTTTAGGCAAGATACAAATAAAAAAGGAGACTATATTATTATAACTAAAATTAAAATAAATAAATTATAACTATATTATAATTAAAATTATTTCTCCAGAGCGAGAGAAATCAAAAGGAAACTCTGCCAGCAGGGTATGTAATGGATAAACAGCTATAATACAAAACATTATATTCTGCGTAATAGTTATTACACGACAAAAACTGAGTTTAATCAAAATCTTGATCTTGCGATGCATATTACTTCATGAGCCACCATGTTGGTTGACAATTTGAGTCATGTGGCTGCACTCCAAGCATATACTAAGTTTTTTGGATGAAAAATTTCTGTATACTTCTGCACACAGTACCAGTACAATATTGTATGATCACTGTGCTTGAAATGGGCTATATTCGTCATATATACATACCCTCTTTCCTTGACTTCCTCTCTTCTTGGTTCGTTGCTCTGTCCACCATATGACCCCCTAGGGTTGTCTGAACCACCAAATATGAACACTTTGACAAAGTTATAGATTGCCAGGAATGGCGCCAGAATTATCATGACGATACCCGAGAAACCTGATGAACTACTCGTAGCTACTGCAGAAGATGTAGAACTTCCCTGGCAAACATACAATGTGATATTCAGAACCCTGGTTATGCCCTAATATTGTCACAGATAAAGGTGTGCTTCTCCACTTAATTCCTGATTACGGTCAAAGATGGCGGGAAATAATGTCATATTTTCGTGCACCAATCAAATGATTCATAAAGATAATATATCAAGTTGAGAATATTGGATAGACTTACTGGAGAAACGATCAGAGTGGCACTAGGGACAAGTTGTAATGAAGTCAAGGTCATGTTCATGTCTTCTTCTGTCAGCTGTCGGCGTGGATAAACGGTGGACAAGGTGATGGAATTGAACCCTGAATCCATTTGCTGTAAGAAAAGATGATAAGGGTCAAATGATGAACATCACAGTAGATGTTTATTGCCATTTGAAGGGAATAACCGGGCGGATATCAAACAAAAATTTTGAACCCAGACAACTCTATCTACTACAAGGAAAAGCGCAACACAAAATGCTTATGACTCGCGACCACTAGTGCAAACCTGTCGTATGCTGTTAGTTATTTGTTTGGTTGTTTATTCGTTTTGAGTGGCAATCCCGTACAAGTTCAAATGGATATGGCACAGCACAATAAATGAAGTACATACTGACTCAATAAACTGTCTGGCTGCCTCTAGAAGTGCGTCTGCTTGGAATGTGTGCATTACACTGCTACCATCAGGCAGGCGAAACTGGAGACGAGTTATCGTGCTGTATCAAAACAACAAACAGTTAATGTAAGAAACTCAAATCAGTCATAAATCACAATTTCAAGACTTGCAAAAAAAGTTACTACATGTAACAGAAACTTTTGTATAGTTGAAAAATGGCAAAGGAAACAGCCTTTCCTTACCTTGTTGGTTTGGTAGGTGTCCTCGAATCACTTGATCCACTTTGACTTGTTGAAGGTACATCTGCCACCGTTGGTGCTAGTTTTCGTTCACGCAGTTCATTTTGTCGTCTCACTTCTCTCTCAGCCTTGTCCTGCGCGATTTGCTTAAGAACGGCCTCGCGGGCTGCCTTTTCCTTTGCTTTGTCTTCCCGGATTTGATTAACGATTTCTCTTTGTTTCCTATCTTCTTTTTCTTTTTTTGCTAATGTTAGTTCCTGTCCTTCTTGTCGCCGTTTTGTTTCCTTTTCAAGTTGCTCCTAAAGACAATAATAATTGGTACCTCTATTAAGCAGACCTTTTATTCTGCGGACAAACTTCATTAAACGGACAGCTAGTTGCACATTCCGCGGTTTTCTTCACATTTATTGTGAAACAAACCTTTATTCACCGGACACCCTTCATGAAAGGTGTCTGCTTATTAGAGGTACCTCTGAAAACATGCAGAATGTTTTCTTAAGCCCGGTTCCCACTGGTGACGTAAGAATAAGTACCTGAAGTACAGCGCAAGCAAATGCAAGAAATACGAAATCATCCGTTCTCTTGCGCCCGTGTTATTCGTCCTTGTGTTGCATGTTTTCATAGAGAAAACAGTCATGTTCTAGCTTGGAGTTGCATCAGACTGCATCTACTTTTGTCACTAGTGAGATCCAGGCTATATATTTAACATAAGATACCCATCCTAGGCAAGGGAGTGCTGTCTTTAGGTATCTGGACTTACCCTTTTTTCTTTTTCTTGTTTTTCTTTTCTTTTCTCTTCAATTAGTCTTTTTGCTCTAATAAATACCGGTAAATTAAATCAACATTTGCTTAGCTACAGCTGAACATGTAGACAAAGGCTAAATCTCAAACAACCATATAGCTCAAACAACAAAACTTAAAGCTAATATGATGAAAAGGTAAATTATACACCGTGAAAAGATGAAAAAACTTGCTGACATTTCGGACGCTAGTCCTTCGTTTGACTCCAACGAAGGACTAGCGTCCGAAACGTCAGTTTTTTCATCTTTTCACGGTGTATAATTTACCTTTTCATCATTACTGTTTCATTAGAAACACCGACGCAGCTCACACTAGTTTTTAGCTAGTTATATCTTTTTAAAGCTAATATGTTAAATGTTAATGAGGAGATATTCAACAGAACCCAAACTGTGTCCTTAATGAACCTACTAAAACAATCAGCCAATTTAAATTTATTGGGAGATAAATAAAGACCTTGTCAATCAGTATGCCCTCTATACTCTAAAACATGGGAAAGCTTGTCGTGGCAGGAAAAATTGCCAAGTGAGGTCAAGGCTAATTGCATACTTTACCACACATTACACATTATTTCACATTACCTCTCAACTCTTTCTTCAACTGTGCTTGAAGGTGTAGCTTCTTGTGCATTTGAGGTTGAGCTCTGAAAAACAAAATTCATTTTTCATTCAATGCATGGCATGGCATTTCTTACCACAATCATAGGAAACGTGCCCTAATATAGCTGCAGTTACACACAACCCCAGAGCCTTGTCATTCTTAGTGTGCATGTTCAATGAAATGCCAGAGGTTCTGGGAAACCCTACCGTTCAATAGCCTGAAATCTGGCTACCTTTTATGTAATGCTCATGCTCAAATTCAAATTATGGCTAGAGCTCACACTCTCTAGATCCTTTGTTGCAAAAGCACTTGTTTGCTAAAACAGTTTTTCAATCAATTATTGTAAGGTAACATTTTAGAGTTTCCTAAAGTATCTGGCATTTCATTAAGCATGCGCAGTTAGAATGACAGGGCTCTGTAGAGTTTCAGTGGGAAAAAGCAATAACACACAAAAAGCCCAACGCATTAAAATAGGCACATCTGACCACAGGATACCCATGATAACAAAAATATCACCAGCATCAACAAAACTTACTAGAGGGGCCAGCTGAATACTTTCTTGGACACTGGATATTTGCTTTTGAAAGGTCTAAAAATGCAAAATATAACGTTACAAATGGTTAAAAGTCAGTATTTTTATAAGTATATTTATAATTAAAACCAAAAGGCTCCTGTAAAACACAGTCGTGACACCGCAAGGCATACACCAGATCAATCACATTTGGTGAGAATTTAATCTCCATCCAATCAAATATCTGAAACACTGCATGAAGATGGTACTGGCACAGTCACGCCAAGGTCTTGACACCACGCAAGTACACCAAACCAATCACATTGTGTGAGAAAAAAAGTCAAAAGCCTAGAAAACAATACAGTCCTGGCAAAGCACATAGGCATGGTATATAAAGTATAGTATAGCAAACTTAGTATATAGCAAAGAGCTTTCTACAGTCTTAAGAAAACTGCTCAAAGTGAATAAAAGTAGTTTCAAGCTATGGCAATAGTTATATTCAGCCCTCTTTCTTCACAGCATATTGTTCCATTAATTGTAAATCATACCTCAAATGCAGTGCTTGTTTTCCCAATAAACTCATCAACACCAACTGCCCCTCCTACCAGCTCCAAAGGCATTCCATTCTGATCTATAAAGAATACTGATGGCACACAGACAACAGGATCTGATTCCAGTTAAGGACATAACATAATAAGTCTCCTTCCTTGGGCAGTTAAGAGCAGTGCTTTTACAGCACTTCTCAATCACATGCGCGAAATGGTACAATTTGCCAGCGCGACAAAGTGGGTTTTGGTGGATGTTAATCAAGGTGTTTTCACAACATTCCATAGAAACGTGCATTCGAAAGCTTTGTTTTTTTCGGCAATGTCATGGAAACACTTTGGTTTCCCATTCATGTGTCTTTTGAAATCAGAGGTAAGTACAGCTGGCTGATTTCAAAGAACCACACACCAAACATGCACTTTCCGGTTGACTAACTTCCTATATTTTGGCTACCAATAAGAATATGTTTTAGTGTCACTCTTAGATACAAATGACTGTAGTTCATAAGCATATAGACAAAAGGATACAGAGCTGTGAAAACTGTGTACACTCCTCACTGTAACAAAAATAATGGTTGAAAATTGACTCATAATTAAGACATTTCATTATTGACATCTAACGTGTTCAATTAAACAAGAAAATTATGTCCTTGTCAAATACCTGTCTTTTTTCAGTTTGATGGCAACACACTTGTCACTTGTGAATAATTCTGTCACCTAAAAGGTAATCATAAATATCAGTTTAGCATCGTAATGACAATAGCTTACATCACCACAACTTGCACTATATCAGTACAATGGCATAGTGAGGGGGCCACCCCCCCTCCCCCCCCCCCNCCCCCCCCCCCCCCCCAAAGTTTCACTGCATCTTTTGATATAGCGTGAAACTCTAAAGATGAAATGTCAGCACTTGTGTGTGTCGGCAGGGTAAAGAGTTTTGTGATTAAATACCAGGGCAATTTTCTTTGCCACCTGTTTTGCAACACTGTTGCAAGACAAGTTGCATGGAGCATTGCAACACAAGTTGCATGGACCATTGCAGTGTTTAACCTAGACAGTGCAATTTGAAAAAAAAGTGACAATTAAATTGCAGAGAAAATTGCTCTGTGTGAAGTGATAATTATTTTAATTGTTTGATATTTTATAAAGATTTTTCTCTTCTCCAACAAATAATTGTCTCCTATGAATTCTTAAACTTTGTTTATTGAAACTATCGTTTTTATTTAACAAAATATAAATGTAACTATTACCTTTGGGTCTTCCCAGACAGTATTCATTGAATTTGAGGAATCATCTTCGCCTATAACATAACAATAATTTGATCTTTCTAATTTATAATCTTCATATTAAGCTTATTTTATTTTATTTTATTAAGACAATCGTAAAGACAAAGTCAAGACATGAGCTTTTATTTTTTGCCATTTATTGCGCTCATAATGAAAATGTTCTAAGTTATACATGTCTTATAGTGGTTATTTAAAATAAAGAAACCATTTGAGTCATATTAAAACTTAATATATTTTGATTCAAAAAAAAGTTTTTTTTTCCGTCATCCTTCTCACCTTCAATGTACACCACAAAAGGCAACTTCCGCTGTTTGGATGACACTATAGCCTCTGGTATACTCCCACTAAACCAAAGCATCTTTTAAAATTGTTCTTGTTTCGATATAAGGAAATATAATAGAGAAAAATGTTGAAAAGACAATGAGACGTAACGGGTCTTTCTGGTTGATGAGAAGAAAATCACCTTCCTTTGTAACCGTTCCTGGTATTCCAAAAAGCTCTTTCGTCCCGGGAGGGGCTCATTTAACAATTTTTCAAAACACAAAACGTAACTATATTTCCATTAAAACAATTAGTACTTACTTCATTAGTTAAATCATTTATCAAAATATTTCAATAAAACAAAATAATTATGTACTTTTAGGGTACTATTGTATCTATAACCTAAAACTTTATTTTGCGCTTACCCCTCCCCTGGGGAGGTTGATCATATAGCAATTCAAGATGGCGGCCGTTGTAGGACGTAAAGCTCTTAAAATTACTCCTGCTATTTCTACTCTTACGAATCAAAATTTACGACCTACACTATGCAGTTCAAAAGTTAACTTATTTATAATTATGAAGAGGATGGCAGGTCATAGCCACTGGGCAAATATCAAGTTCAAAAAGGCTCATATTGACTTTGCTCGAAGTAAACTGTTCGGGAGGCTAACAGCTGAAATAATGACTGCTGTAAGGGGTAAGAACTATATTTAGAATTTGATTCACAGTTTATATTTCTGTATTTAGCTGTAACTATAAAATCTGGTAATTACTGTAAGGATAGGGCAGCATGAACAGAAAATTCAACTTGGGCTCCCTGTGGCAAAAGGGTTTCCGCCACTTTTCCATTACTTTGAGAAAGAAGAAAAGGAACGATAATTCAGATAACTATTAGGATTTTAAGATATTATAGAAAATTAGCAAAATTTGATGTTCATTTTTCTCCATTTTTCCTAAACTTATGCCATGTCTATATGTGTGTGCACTAGCCATTGTACAGTTGTCCTCTTGTCTCCTCTCTGAATGTGGTTACAGGAGCCATGTGAGATGTGATCATGAGAACCTCTAGCTTCCCCAACCCCCTGAAGTTTTGAAATCACAAGGTTAAGACTTGTCATGACTGTATGTTGGCAAGGCCACATCCCAAGATTTGACCTTTAGATCAAAATATGGCTTTACAGCTATCCCTGCCTCTCTCAAGGGCGACACAACACAACCTTTTTAAAAGTGAGGGGACCATGTGTCACAAGTAAGCCCACTGAAGTGAAATCAAGCCTTGTCTCAGGATTTTTTAAAAGATAGGCATGGTTCTTCATTTAATCAACCAAAACCTTTCAAAAAAACTGGGGAGGGGTTGCTAGGGCCCCCTCCCCTCCCCTCCCCCCAGCTACACCGCCCATGTCTCTCAGAGTATTATAGCAATACTGTCCAGAGATAAAAAAGTTTGACACTGATGACAATTTACTTTTTTTTAACTGACTTTAGAAGGAGCAGCAGATGTATCATTAAACCCACGACTTGAAGCAGTAATTGAACGTGCCAAAGCAGCAAATATGCCAAAATCCAATATAGAAAATGCAATTAAGTCTGGTCAAGGGGTAAGTTTAATTTGTGTGAAAAGTCCCATTATGGTACTGCGCATAATATAGGATTATAGGTTATATCATACCAGTGTCCCGCTCTTTTGTTGCAGAATTTTTCTTTAGTCTGTGAATCAAGGGATTTTTCCATTTTCCAGGTTCTAAAGGATTTCTCCTATGCAAACCCATTGCATGCTAAATCCCTATTCATTCTCTATGTCAGCTTTATTAAGATTAAGGGGTTATTTCAGGGCTTGATAAAATTGATATGTAGTTTTAGACATCCTCCTGCATCCACACCTTTGGTTTCATTCTGTTTTATTCCTTTTTTTTGTTACTTTTGTTGCTTTTATACAGAACAAAGACAACCCTTTGTCTCAATTCCTTCTTGAAGCAAGAGGACCTGGTGCTTGTGGGCTCCTGATTGATATTGTAACAACCAACAAAGTCAGAGCAAAAATTGATGTGGCCAGTATTTTAAAAAGAAATGGGTGAGTTGTGTAGAAGAGGTTTATTTATCTATAGACCCCTCACTTTTGAAACAAGAGTATCTTTTCTTGATATTGAAATTATCTTCTTTGGTGTAATTTTATCATTGTTTTAACTCCTCACCCTTTTGCCCAGCTGCAGATCCCAGGGGGGTGCCGCCAAACAGGGTATGGTTTTCAGCAATTTTACTCTGGAACAGGGTATATAAAGTCGCACTCGCTCTGTGACAGGGTATATGAAATCACACTCTCTCCTCTCTGGAACAGGGTATTCATTTTTGCAATACCGGAATAGGGTATGATTTTCAGCGATCTTGCTCTGGAACAGGCTGTGAATTTCAGTGATTTTACTCTGGAACAGGGTCAGGGYTCAGTGGGCTCAGCGGCACATCCCTACCCTAAACGGGCAAGAGTACCTCCCAGGGCTGCAGATATAGTAACATATTTCATATTTAAGTATTTATTTCATTAACAAAACTGTTCTTTTGCATAATAATTTTTCTCTATATTTGCAATTATTTTTGTGTTTTTCCCCTTTTGAAACAAGAGGAACAATGAAAGAAGGAGGGTCTGTACTTTTTCAGTTTGAAAGTAAAGGTGAGTATATATGACTACTAATATGATGGTATTCAGGATTATTGTGGTACAGCATTGAGTAATAAAATTTTTGCAAATTCACTTGAGTGACAATAGCTTAAATTGAGGTTGGACTCGATAAAATGCCTAAATGTACATATATACATATACATAAAGTCCAACCCCAGCCATTGTTTCCAGAGCGTATTTCAGAAATATGTATATACGTAATTTACCCATTCATGTGATGTGATAAATGCTTAGGAAAAATAAATTGCCAAACTCTGAATGTTACTTATACATGACAGACAAAAAACCAAAACCATTGTCAATAAGGTGACGCAGGGGCAGATCTAGGGGTGGTAAAATGGGTGATTAGTCACCCCCATTTTGCTCAAAATTTTCAGTATATCATAGTAACAAACTTCCCCCTTTTTCTCGAATTCCTGGTAAAACCTTGTAATAATCACCCCCTTCTAAACTTTCTGGATACACCCCTGTGACTGTCAACCTACCAACACCATATTGACAGCAAATACACAGAATTTACTCTTCCAATTATAGTTTTTGGGTGACATTATTTATAACCACACAAGACTCTATGTACACACTATTAATCCTACAAATTTTTTCATACCACATCTTTTACATTACTTATAGATCCCTAAATTTTTTAGGAGTTGTAACAATTGAAGATTATTTATATAAGGAGGATTTACATAAAGGAGGATACCCAGATGATGATATAGTAGACAAGGTGATGTCCTCTTTCTTGCTTTACTGTGCTGATACCTAAAAGGCTTTTGCACTTTTGGTTGTGGTTTATTATGACACTCATTTGATCCCTTAGAATGAGCCTCATTGACATTAACAGAAGCTATACAAACATAAGTGAATGATATTAATTGTGATGCACATTTGAGTATTTTATATAAAATGACGATAAAGATAATAATAAATTATCATTATCATTATCAAGCTTTTTCACACCTTTCAAATTCCATGTCACCATCCCTGTTTGTTATTGCCTGCATAGCAGCCCAAAAGGAATGGGGGTGGGGGGGCTGTGGAGAAGGGGGCAGCAGCCCCCATCTCTTTTGGACCACTGTGGGCTATATTTAATGGGACTTGTGCATTAGAAAAATTCTTGGACCACAGATTGCTGGGGAAGGGGCAGGTAGGGCTCTGGCTCTACCACCCTTTTCATCTGTTGATTGATATTAAACATGGGTAACCCATAATGGCATAATTCAGTGAATCATTACAACAATTGTACTAGGATTACAATTGGGTCTTTTTTGTCCTTAGGTAGAAGAACTAGCAATAGAGGCTGGTGCTGAAGATGTTTATTTTACACAACTGGAAGATGAAAAACAAGTCATTAAGGTACATGTACATCTGTGACAGGGCTCAAAACAAATGGCTGGTAAACAGACAATGTCCAGCCAAATGCCTCTTAGGGCAGTTCTCTGGAACCGTCACAGGACTGTAGCCACAAATTTCTGATTTGTTCCATTTGCCACAAATTTTGGACTGGTCCAGTTTTTGAGGTTTTTCTGGGTTTCTTTTTTTTCTTTTACTTTTCTTATTTTCCCCCCCGAAATTTGGTCTGGTTGAAACTGGACCAACAGTACCAGTGGCTACAGCCCTGTGTCACATTGACTGGTCAAATGTTCACAAGTTTGTTGCTAATCATCATGTCTGGCCATTGAGCTGCTGTTATTAGCCCTGCTCCATCACAACTTATTGGGTTTAAATTGGCACATCCCGCTTTTTAACCTGCCAACCTTTTTTTGATATTCACCTGAGATCATGCATAATCATTACCACAATTCTATGGCATATTTTTATTTTACATTATTCTCTTTTTGTACAGTTTGTATGTTCATTCAAAGAAATAAAGAAGGTTTCAGATGGTATCCTATCGACAGAAGAAAAGTGCATCATACACTGCAATGGACTAGAGTATTTCCCAAAAGCTATGGCTACATTAACAGAACCTCAAGTAGAAAAAGCTGATAAACTCATTGACTTGATATTAAACAACCCAGATGTCATTCAGGTGTATGATAACATTAAGGATTATCCAAGTTCAACTTGTAAATTATTTGCCGACTTGTAGCCACTTGAAATTCTACAGAGTTTTTACTTAATCCAGGAACAAGATGTAATGGTTGATATCCAATAATTGAGCAGACAGTTAGTGTTTAGTAATGTCTATAAGACCAGTATCCAATTTGTTTGTTAAATGAAATCACTCTTTAGTACTACAATCAGATATTCACCCCAAAATTAATGGTGCATGTGTGGCTGCCAAGGGCATTGGTCTAATAAGTGGAGCATTTTTCCACATAAAGCTATCAGATTGTATGTTTTCAGATATGTTATTCCTACATTCGCAAGAGAGTGAAGCTCTCCTAGATATGCTTCTAAAGTATATTATAATTACGAAAACTATGGGGTACAAGTCGAACCAGCTGTTGGCTGTCATTCTGAACAATAGTTTTACACACACAAAAATCAATCCCAGACTAAGGGGATTCATTGTTCTGTCATCCAACATGGCTGCCAAAATGTGATCATGAAAAATCTCTATAAATTGTTACAAGGATTGTTTTGCCTGATTAGCAAACTACCAATTATCTGCAGCTCATTGGTAACTGGTAAAGCTTTCAGACAGAAAGAACAAGTAAAATATTTAGACACGAAAATTTTTCCAAAATAAACAAAGGCAACATTACTTTAAAATATTACTTGCGGTCTGAAGTGAGTCTGAAATTTATTGGCCTTCACAGCCAATTTTACTTGATGTTTAGCCATCTGCTGTCGTTCAACTCTTGCATCTCGAAGTGTCTGTCTTGTTTTCTCTGCTATTGTGCCATGCCATCCCAATGCCTTGTAGTCAGCCATAATACTCTTCTTAACCTTATGATTCTCTCTTTCTGGAGGTAAATGTTGTTTGTAATAATTCCGAAGATCCCTATGGCCAGCCTTTGCACCTGACGGCAAGCACAACTCATTTGTGGCGTCATCGACACTCAGTGTACCAGTGTTGACATCATTATCATCATCATCATTTTCTCTCTTACTTGGATAACTACTTGTAAAGTCATACCAATCTGAATATTCCAAAGCAGCTTCTCCCTCATAGTCCAACTTCATGTGACTTTTACTAGTCATGTGGTTTTGTACAGCTTCTATTGAGAGATATGCCTTGCTCTTTTCATTGCAAAACAAACACATTTTACCAATTCCGATTTTTTCTCCAAGATATCCAATCAAGCCCTTGAGATCAACAACGTATTCCAGATCAGGAATGAAGAAGCTATGAGATCTGGACATATGCTTCATGTTTTCTTCGAAGTTTAAGCTTTCATGTGGGCAGAAAAGACATTCTGTGATTTCTAGAGCTTCATCCTCGCACTCTTCGACTTCTTCCTCGTCTGATGCTGGGGTTTCTGTATCTGCTTCTTGTACACTGTTTTCACTCTTCTTTTTCAAACCCACGATGTCTGCTGTTTCTTCTGAATCAGTGTCCTTGGATTTTGCAACTATTTCAAGATGTTTCTTGGACTGCAAGTAATTCTTGTAAGCGTTCTCAGACGAGAAGTTCTTATTACATATTTTACAGTACATGATGGTGCTTTTCGTCTGTTCTTTAGCCTCTGCTTCTGCTCTTTGAGCAAGAACCTTTTCCTGGAACACTTCTGCAGTGACAGGAGGCATTTCTGCTACTTTTCTCTTCAAATTATAGCGATGCCAGTCGGATTTGTAGTGCTTTCTCTGTAAATCTGAATCAGCAAACCCAACACGACAAGTTATACAAGTGTAAAGCGGCATTTTTTCTGCTTCGATTCCTCAAATCAGTCTTTATGATACTTCCGGAGTTACCAAAAATGTTCAAAATTCTCAATCTGGTTTGTAATATAAATGAATCAGAGAGATAAACTTATATTTTTAAACTATTATCAATTTTACCCAGCCACGTTTCTGAAAATTTGCATCATCATTGTGGTGCAATCCTTGCTGCGCGGCGAACTATGGGATACCATAGTTTGGGCTTCCTGTGGTATATTTGGGAAATTTCTATAATTTATTTATAAGAATGATATATAATATTAACTAGGTTGACTAGTTAGAAAAGCTTATGATTATTTTGTAGAGAAATTTTCGGTTTAAATTTAGTAAAACCGTTGTTCAACTGTTAAATATATTTGTACATATGTGAAGCCGCAAGCATCAAGAGATGTGTACAGCGGAAACCAAAATGTAAGGTATATACTTCATCACATGATGCTATCTCTGTACCATACGGCTAAAAGACAGCTTAAAAACACCATATGAAGTCTATATCTATTGATGATTTCCGCGGTGATTTCGAGTTACTTTTTCTCAGGAAGTCGCAGGAAGAGAAAAAATGAACTTTTACTTTTGATTATTATTGATTGATGACTGCTGCTTGAGATGAAATCATGAGTGGGAATCTTACAGACGAGCAGCGTCGAAAAATCGATGAAAATCGTCGCAAAGCCTTGGAAAAAAGGGCAGCTCGTCTCAATCAGTCAAAACAACCCTACAACTCTACGCTGACACTGAGCAAAAATCTCGTTAATACCGACTCTTTTGGCTCTTCCTCCTCGCATTCAATAGCCCGTCAATCAAACTCTACAAAGCAAACTTTCCTGGACAGTAAAGATGCCAGTTTTGATGCAGCAAGACCATTTCCTCGTCAGGTCTCGGAGTCTTCATTCATTGAGTCAAAGCTCACATCAGCAACAACACAATTGCAAAATGGGAATGAAACGTCGACAACACAAACTACAAGCATACAAGACTTTGTTTCTAAATTCGCAAGGCCTGGTAGTTCAAAGAGCACTTTTTCTAAAAGTGACAAAGGAAAAGTAGAAAATTCTTCTTTGACTAACAAGGGGCCAGAGCAGACCAAAGGAAATGATAAAGTCTGTGGTGCGCCTGGTCTTGGAACAATGAAAGATGTAAAAGTTGTAAAAGGAACTTGTATACTTGTTAGCAAAACGAGGTTTGCAGTCAAGGTTGGGTACCATGCACAGCTAATAGGACTGTTCAAGACAATACCTAGTCGAAATTATGGTGAGTTTAGATTTGTAACATTTCTTAGAGACCGGTCATTATTTAKGGRGRGGRGKGGGGAWRARAAAAARRRGRGGGGGGGGGGGGGGRGSGCARGGGTWTTTGRGAGTGGTTAGTGGGAGTATTACAATGAAAATGATAGTGGGAGCAGTGATGGCCAAGAGGACGATGACTTTATTATTAAGCCAGCTATCGTCCAAACCTCCTGAAATGGACAAAAAATGGGGCATTGGTGTGCAAGATATGCTGGTTTTTTTACATATTGGAATGCATTTAACATAGTGCAAACTTTCGCTGGCTGTCCTTGACTCGGCTTTTGTAATTTAATTTATGTGAGGATATTTGTATTTTCTTCAAGTAAGAGATTTGCTTATTGCTCATTTGTTGGACTAATTTACAGATTAGTGTATGAAAAAATGATTTTGATGATGCCAATCTTGGCATGAACTGACCAACTAATCACAACACAGAATCAGATGTTCGATGAGTGTTATGTAACAGGCACATCATCCAGTCTACACCATCGCCTGATGAGGTCTAGCAGTTTGCAGTCGAAAAACATTGTGGTCCTTCTATAAACTTTTATTTTAAGAATCATACAATTATTGAGGCTATTGGGTTGATACAATGCTTGATGTCTCATTTGTATGCATCCATAATATCTGCTATTTTCATTTGTGACATTATTTGGTAAAACCTTTTGTCTTAATTGTCTTGGATTTGCTGYATAGATCAATCAACTACAACATGGAATTTTGCTTTGGAAGACTACAAAAGCTTTAGTGAGTATCTTAATTAAAATTATAGTCTGTGTGAAGTAAGTTGAACTGTACACCGACTGTACAACCCCTTAGTCATCCTGTAAGAATCTGGTATGACTCTGCTCTCCACTTTCCCTTTGCCTCAATGAGAAATAATTGATGCTATGTTTTGTTTTCTACCAAAGTGACTGCAGCCAGGTCCCTACAGCCAAATGTTTACATAGAAGGCCTACCGAAAACAGTTTTGTCAGTATTCACCAAGACAACGCCAGGAACACTCAAGGAGCTATCCACACAGGACATTAATTTAAACTCTGTTGATTCAAAATTGGTATCCTCCTTAATGCCATTCCAGAAACAAGGAGTGAGTTTTTGTATCCGTCATGATGGCCGTGCACTTATAGCTGATGATATGGGTCTAGGAAAGACTATTCAAGCAATTTGCATTGCAAGTTACTATCGTAAGGAGTGGCCTCTTTTAGTTATTACACCTTCTTCTGTGAGAATAACATGGCAACAGGTAAAGCCGCTGATGGATTGTCAGTATTGAAAATGTTACAATTTCTTTTTGTGACAAAATTTGTAATTGCTTTCTCCTAAGCCTGTACACCCCTTGTGGGGTATAGGCCATCAACAACATCTGAATGCTACAGAGCCCTGTCCTTCACCTTGTCCTCTAGCTGTTTCCAGGTATGTCAACTGGACCTTACCCCGTGACGTCATGTGGCTTCTATAGGAAGTTCCTTCCTTCATCCGGGAGTAGATTCTCTGATTGTTTCTCTGTTGGTGATGTGTCTGTAGCGTTTTTTAGTTTTTACAGAGAAGGGTTGCTAGCACTTTGCCCAACCCTCCTCCTTTCTCATCCAGAGTTTTGTAATTGCTTGATTAAACATAATTCACGTCTTTGATAACTTTACAAGCATATCTGTTGTTGCATTCTAGATTCCACTTAGGTTATCAAACAGCATTCATCCTAAGTGACCAGACTTAATTAAATACCATCTAGACCTCATTCATTAACATGAGTTCCAGTAGCTCAGTTGATTAGAGCATCTGACTAGCAAACAGATAATCACTGTAAGCCATGCATTCAGTTTTCTATTCTAATTGGAATTAATTGTCTGACTTTTGTTAATAAGTTAATACAATTCAACCATTAATATTAATTCTTTATTTGCAGGCAATCATAAGATGGCTGCCCTCAGTTAATCCACAATATATTAATGTGGTATTAACAGGCAAGGACAAACCTACATCTGGTCTTGTCAACATCATTAGCTATGATTTGCTGTCCAAGTTTACAGAACAGTTAAAGGCCAATCCTCCAAGAGTTATCATTGCTGTGAGTATCAAAGCAAATTTTTTGTCATTCAATCTGACATGTTCTTTAGTTGATTACATAGCGATTATTTACAGGTGGTCTGGAAAAGGGAAAAACTGTGCCTGAGGTCTTGAATATAGAAATAGAAATATGGAGGGCACAGTTTTTCCCCTATATTGACAAACTTTAGGATGGTTAATAACTTCTTAATTTTTTTCTCCCATTGACTTTTTTACTTGTTCTGTATCCTTTATTTCATTTGCACATGCACAGATAGCATAAGCAGCTAGGATACAAGACCACAGTCAGATATATGATATACTGCCCCCCTCAGGCAGCTTATGAGAACACACAATAATTTTTAGGATACTGGAATGCAAAAAATAAATAGTTTACCTTTATAGTTTGACTCCATTCTCTCCTTTACTTTCAACACTTGACATTATTTTTACAAAAGGATGAAAGTCACTTTATCAAGAATTACAAAGCAGCAAGAACGAAGGTTGCATTACCTCTTATCAAGGTATTCTATTTTTTTTAACACACAAAAGATTGGTATAAACACTTCCTGTTATGGGTTTTTTATATTTTTCCACCTCAGGAGAGTTTCCAGCACACAACAAATCATGCCTCCCTTCCCCAAAAATAAATACATGTTATAAAATAACTGATATTATTCTTTTATTTTGATTGGTTGGGAGCTCGTGCTTTATGAGAACACACGGCACACGCTTTCAGACGCGTCATTCCTATCTACAATAACGGTTCTTGTAAATTGTATTTTATAAAAGTAATAAAAAACTTGCTTGCTGTGCTATGTGTCATAAAAACCTTGGGGATTGACAGAACACTCAAGAAGTGACAAGAAGTTCTCCGCTACGTGTCTTGCTTCTCCTAACACATCTCTCATGTTCTGCCAACCGCCTTCGTGCTTTATAACTGCACACAGTACGCGCGCGCATTTTCAATTTCTTCATTACAAATAAACTACTAGGAACACTTTGCGTTTTTTTTTTCATTAGGCACACTTTGCGTTGTGGCTTCCTGCACTTCCCTCGTGTTCTTTCAGCACCCACATGTCTCGATCAGAGTATCCAAAATGGAAAGCATTTTTTTATTTATTTTACTAATATTTTACTAATATTCGTTAAATTTAACCTATTTATAGGCAGCCACACGTGTCCTCCTTCTATCTGGTACACCAGCACTGTCTCGCCCTATGGAACTGCACACCCAAATCAGTGCTGTTAAACCCAGTTTATTTCCAAATTTTCATGAGTTTGGCCTACGCTACTGTGGTGCAATGCAGGTCAGATACTAAAGAAAAAAATCAGCTTCGATTATGTTGAACCCATTCTCATAATAGACTCTTTCTCACAAATAGGGTTGCGCACTTAACTAAATTTGAGAAGTTTGAATTATGGAGTAAGAATTATAGCTTTTTTCATTTTATTTGGTCGTTAATGCGCGCATTCGCATGTTAAAAAAGAACTTTTGATAGTCATACTAAGATCGGCTTGTCGTCGTCGTGATTTGTATGGCTGCGAAACTTTGTGGCAACCGGGAAATTCACTGCAAGGGTTTGAGAACGTTTCTTGAACCAATGAAACGATCATGGTACATCATGTTTAGACCATGGTGAGGTGAATGTTTTCCCATTACAGAGACCACGTGCCATTCTCTTGAGAATGAGATTCTTTGTTTGAGTTGTATCCATGTGTCATATCCTGCACAACCGTTAAACAAAGAAATGATACTCTAGGGAATGACACGTTGTCTGTAATGGAAAAACACACCACAACAAATAACTTGAACGTCAAGCGTTTTGACTGCAATCTCGACATCATATATATTATATCGATGAAGCGCAACGAGAAGAAATTTGGTCGTTTAAGACACTTGATCGTCTTTTTTATTTACCATTTTCTTTTGTTTTCGTCGTTGCCTTCTCGGTTTTAGAACCGTTGGGGATGGGACTATTCAGGATCGTCCAACATGGAGGAACTGCAGCTGATACTTGAAGAGACTATAATGATTAGGTAAGGTGAATCTTAAATTAACCTGGTTGCGGGCATTCCCATGATATCTCTTTGAATAATTGAGTCTTACTAAAAATTCCTAACTCGACAAAATCCTATTGTTCTCCACTTAAAAAGAAGCACACGACGATTTTTCTGCGTCACTCGCAAATGGGAGTCTCCGACAGCGGTTCGTGTCAGGTTATAACAGTTACTACTAGCTTTTCGAAAAAGCCTTAATCTTCATCAATGACAGCCGCAGAGATATATTTTATGTAGTTAAACATCAGGTATTTGATGGAATACAAAGAGAGCCTGACAGGCTACGCTATACGGTATCTTACTGCGCTATAAGCGGTGTTCGGCAGGCGTGAGATTTAATAGCAAGAAACGAGCTTCGTTTGCTCTTTTTTTAATTTGAGATCTTTTTTCTATGACATTTTATCATTGCAGACGAATGAAAACAGAAGTGTTATCTGAACTTCCTTCTAAACGACGTCAAATGGTTTGTTTGCAATTTATCGTTACTTTTAATCAAGATTGGGCGGTTTCTGACGTGAAAATGTTTACGTCTCCTTCAGGTTCTTCTTGATCCGTCGTTAATAAAGACGAAACCACTAGAGAGAGCTGCTAGACAAGTGGCCCATGCAAAGGTAGGACAAGTATCTTATAGTGTGGAGGGAGTAACTAGCCAAAAGACTAATTCCAGGGTGAATCAAGTTCTAAATACTGGGGTGTGTGGGGATAGGTGTTTGTGTACTTGGGCAAAGCTGCTAGACAAGTGGCTCATGCAAATATAAGACAAATATCACGGTATGGTGGAAGTGACTGACAGGGGGTGTGTGGGGATAGGTGTTTGTGTACTTGGGCAGAGCTGCTAGACAAGTGGCTTATACAAATGTAAGACAAATATCACGGTGTGAAGTAAGTGACTGACAGTGGGTGTGTGGGGATGGGTGTGTGGGGATAGGTGTTTGTGTACTTGGGCAGAGCTGCTAGACAAGTGGTTCATACAAATGTAAGACAAATATCACGGTGTGAAGGAAGTGGCTGACAGGGGGTGTGTTGGGATAGGTGTTTGTGTACTTGGGCAGAGCTGCTAGACAATTGCTCAATGCAAAAATACGGCAACTACCATGTGGTCTGTTTGTTTGGTTGCGAATAAGTGGATGGTGGTGCATGTGAGTGCGCATGTTTATGTGTCTACACTGTGAATCGTACTGTCTATCAGTTACTTCAGGCTTTTCTTTATTATTTCTCTTAGGAAAAAGATCAACATGGCGCTCTTCTGAATTACTTTTATGAAACGTGCGCTTCAAAATTGCCAGCAGTCAGGTATGTATGGCAGTTTCCTTGGATCTCTCCGACAGTCCCCCTGTCGAAATGAGCCGATCTGGGGTTTTGAGGCGTGGGGGCCGGGTTTACCCCAGAAACTAATGTCAATCATACATTCTCAAAGGTACTATTTTCCTCATTCTTTCTCAATCATTAGACTCTGAAAGATACTTTTTTCCTAATTCTCGTTCTCGTGGCTAATGACGGCGAAGGAAAATACGTAGCATAGATTACTGAGTTTTATATCTGTGATCGTGTCAGAACAATGCTTCAGGACATGTTACGACACTGAGCTAGTAACAATAACATGTGCAAGGGATTAGGAACCTCTTCAAGGTGCACATCCTCTGGCGTATTCGTTTTTTTCGGAGGGATACCCTGTAGAACCACCACACTTTGCTTAAATGCGGTCCAGAAACTCATGGGTTTTTGTTATCACACTTCAGGGAGTATGTTTTAGATCTCTTGGAGGGTGGTCACAAGCTGTTAGTGTTTGCCCATCATAAAGATATGTTGGACGCCATTAGTACCAGTCTGACTGCAAAGGTAAGTAAAATACCACCACCCCTCGATTTAAGCATGCACGTTGGGACGCCCTGGGGAGAAATGAAGCCCTGAGCACCAAAATAGTGATACACCAAACTGAAAAAAAAACACGTCAGGTTGAAAGTAAAAGGTCCGGTTCGTTAAATCATCGAAGCTAAGAGCGACGGGTATTCTGGGTAATCTATATCCTCGGAATTCGGAGAATGTTTGCATACAGACATGCATGAAGAGTGACAAAATGCTTTGTTGGGTAACTTGAATCAAGAGGGCTGCTAAACTGCAACATGCATTATATGATCTTATATAAGCCATCAACTGTTTACCCAGAACTCTTTTCGGTCTCAGCTAGATAATTTGTATTGTAATTATCTTATATATTCCTCTTTATATTCAATGTTCTCAATGTTTAATTTCTTGAATGGAATAATGATTAAATGATGATGATGATGATGATTTAACTTTTCCAACCCGACAAGGTTTTTTCCCCAATTTGGTGTATATATGCCGATAGGAAATCTAATGACAACGCGCGCTCTGATTGGATTACCAACAAACAACGAAGATGATCGATTGATACGACACTGCAAGAAAAGAAGTCTTTCGCTCAGGGTGATTGCGCCTGCTCGTTTTCCAAGTTTTGTAATATACATTTTTTCAGAAAACTAAAGCTGTCTTTTGGTCGTAAATATTTTCAATGTTGCACAGAAAAATCTAGGTCCCTTTTCTGAGAGACGTAGATTATATGTGAGTCGAGTTTGTTCTAGGGTTTTTTTTTTCAGGTTCTCCGGTTTTCCTCCCTCCGTGTGATTTGAGAGTCATATGCAAAGCATGTATAGTGTAGTAGTAGTGTGTGTGAGCGAGTGAGTGAGTGAGGCGGGTGAGTGAGGCGAGTGAGTGAGGCGAGTGAGTGAGTGACAGTGGGCAGAAATGGAAACCACTATATACCAATATACTGAATTTGTATCCCGCTTTAAAAAAGTGATTTGTTTATTTATTATATATATTTTTTTTACAGAAATACAAGTTCATTAGAATCGATGGCAGTACACCGTCATCCAAGCGACAACTTCTGTGCGATACGTTTCAGAAGGAAAAAGACGTGCTTGTTGCTGTCTTGTCAATCACTGCAGCTAACACAGGTAACGCAAGAAAAGAAAAATGAAACAAGTACGTGAGCTAATTTCCAAGCTTCTGAGCTAATTCAATGGTTCTTGGTTACTGACTGTCATTACCCCTGTTGAAGCGATTATTTGACTCGCATGTAAAGCACTTAACACAAGTAACACAAAAGTAAAAACATCATCGATTCATGCTTTAACTCCACCCCCCCCCCCCCTACTTACCATCAGCAAAGTATTTACATCCAAACCACATTGACTAATACGTTTTTACCACTATAGGTCTGACATTAACAGAAGGTAGTGCGGTCGTCTTTGCAGAATTATTCTGGAACCCTGGGGTACGTATATGGATAAGTCTCTTACCTATATATCACACTTCCGCAAGTCGACCTTTCTTGCAATAGTCCCCTTCAAAGTTCCCTCCGGCATCTTGAAAAGCCAAGCCTTTGCGTCGAATCGAGACGAACGATGAGCTTGCAATGACAGAGACGTGAATAATTGCCCAAGAAAATAAGTTCTCTATCATTGCAAGCTCACCGTTCGTCTCGAACTATACTATAGTATAGGTTATTTAGTCAAATCTAACTAGTGGTCTTTCATGAATACTGCGTTCTGATTGGATGAGCTACTACTACAAGTTATGTCCTACTTGAAGTATAAAAAATATGACGTAAAAAGTGACGTTTGTTAAGGTGTTTAGCAGATTTGTAACTATGTTTTTTCTTCGCAGGCATTGGTTCAAGCTGAAGACCGTGTTTACAGGATTGGTCAGAAAAACTCCGTCAATATTCATTACCTCGTTGCTAAAGCGACAGCTGATGACTTTCTCTGGTAAATCTTAATAATATAATTTGTAATACTCTTTAAAAATATATTTTTGAAACCCCTGGAATAGTCCCTTTCACAGTTCCCTGCGCCATCTTGAAAGGTATAGCCGTGCCTTTGCATCAAAGTAAGACGAATGGTGTCTCTATCATTGCAAGTTCACCGTTCGTCTCCCTTAGTGCAGATTTCGTATGACTGTGAAAAGTTCCGTGCCGTGCCGCAACCGTGATGTTTCCTAGAATTTTGATTGGTTTTCTTTTCTCTTGCTCAATGTGCTCCGTGTTCTTGTCGTGACCGTGTCCGCGTCGTGTTCGTGGCGTGTTTCGTGCATTTGTTTGGATGAAGAGTTCGTGTCTTGCTGCGACCGTGATGTTTTTTAGATTTTTGATTTGCTGGGTCTTTGCCGTGGCCGTGTTCGTGCCGTGAGCTTTTCACAGTCATACGAAAACTGCTCTAGATGCAAAGGCACGGCTACCTTTCAAGATGGCGCCAGGAACTGTGAAGGGGACTACTGCGCAGAAAAAATACAAATGAAATGTTCGCTAACTGGTGACTCTTCCATAACCTGGGTTCCAAAGGCCGACCGAGAAGCACTGGAGCGAGAGAGCCACTGGAACCCAGGTTAACTCTTCCAAGTCTGAGAGAAACAAAATCTCTTGGATAGAGTGTATACTATATATCCGTGAAAGAACTTTGTAAGAAATTGCACGAATTAGTAAGTTCAGTAGACCCCAGTAGACCGTTAAGACCTACAAAACGTTGCACTAATTTTTTTCTAATTTTGTCAGTTAATTTTATAAAAACACGACACTTTAGTTTAACTGATATGTTCCGGCAGTAACGTCTGCCATCTTCAGATTTTGATATCGTGATGTGCAATCTGCATTACGATATTAAAATCTGAAGATGGCAGACGTTACTGCCGAAACATGTCAGTTAAACTAAAAAGTGTCGTGTTTTTTATAAAAATAGTAGGAAGTCTGCTTCTAAACCGACCTTTTGTTAGTTAACTAAGGATAAATGGTATGCTAACAAATGCCGATCAAAACGTTGAGTGCTTATTACATGACAAGGCCTTTTGTGGACAGTTCATGTTCTTGTACATCATCAACCTTCACTGATAGTAGTAAAGGTCGCACCTTACGACCCTTGGAGTGTCCATCAACAGTGAATCATGTAAATCATGTTTCGTTAATCGAAAACAAAATCGGGCTCAGGCGGGATTCAAACCCGTGACCTTCTGTTTGCTTGTCAGACGACCTTACCTCTGAGCTACTGAGAATGAAGTCTAAATGGTATCTTAGCCTGCTTTCTTCCCCGAGAAAACTTGGCTTGACGAAAAACTGAACTTAACATCTTCCATAAACAACTTAACATCTTCCATAAACGTATCCAAAAATAACTGTTACCAAGCACACACACAAAAAAACGAGATAAGGTATTCTTCGAGTTACACATTTTTCGAGTTACGCCCTCGGACACACCCATATTTTGGGGGCCACACTCACTTCGACATCTGTGCGTAACTCGATGACAAACAGCGTTGAAATCAAACTCGAGTTACGTAACTCGAACCCAACAGATTGAACCTTATTTTTCGAGCTACGCGTTATTTCCGTGTCTCGATTCTAAAAGTGGACAACGTTTTTTCGAGTTAATTTGAAAGAGAAAAAGAATTTACTTCTCAATAAATTAACGGAATTAAAATYAAAATTAACACATCAAATCAAATAAAAAATTCCCTTGCGGGCGGGCTAAGAAAATGATACAGGTAGGCCGAGCGATCGTACTGTTTATTGACTAGAAATGACCGGACTGTTTTATAGTTTTATGGTTTTAACGGTTTTATATTGCGGTAGCTATCCATCGAGTCGCGGAAAGAGAAAAAGAGAAAATATATAACGATGTATACGGACAGAACGTGATAAATGCAAGTAAATATGGACAAAATAAAATGAAAGAAATACGAATAAAAAATATAAATGAATAGTTGAGCGAGACAACCACCTCGACTCATGCAATCAGTCTAAAAAATAACGCGAAAAAAATAAAAGTTTACATAACTCGAAAAAATATTTGTCCACTTTTAGAATCGAGATACTGAAATAGCGCGTAACTCGAAAAATAAGGTTCAATCTGTTGGGTTCGAGTTACGTAACTCGAGTTTGATTTCAACGCTGTTTGTCATCGAGTTACGCACAGATGTCAAAGTGGGCGTGGCCTCCAAAATGTTGGTGTGTCCGAGCGCGTAACTCGAAAAATGTGTAACTCGAAAATCGTAACTCGAAATCGTAACTCGAGTTTTTCCTTCCCTCGAAAAAAACACCTCACTGAATACATTCTGTAAACTTCTTCCCCACAGGCCTCTTATTCAAAACAAACTTCAAGTACTCAATAAGGCGGGGCTGAGTGGAGATGACTTTTCTAATGCAGATATGATGACCTTTAAGGTATGTAAAAAGTAAAGTTCAAGAGTTGAAAGGTGACCTTTGAAAATCGTAATCCTGGGACTCTGTTTGTCTAGCTTCCCAGTTTAAATGAGCATAAGTGGCACCTACTGAGATGTTTTGGAAAAGATTCTAAGTGTTGGTCTGGCTAGGGCTTGAATATATGACCTCCCTCGCAATCGACCGGTGCATAGGTGGGTGCCCAACCATCTAAGCCAACAGGATAGTGGTCATGTTTGTGTCGGTAGACCCTCCATGATGTAGCATGGAAAATAGTCGTACTGTTGCCGCACTGCCTACACCTTGTAATGCGGGACAATCAGAGAATCCATTTTAGTGCATTGCAGAATTTGCAGAAAGTTAATGTCCTGCGTTACCCACTTGTTCGAAAGCCGCTCAATGAGAATCCATTCTAGTGCACATATTTAAACACTGATTTGGCTTCCCACTATTTCGTGCGCTTTATCCAGTTACAAGTTTTAGGTACGGTTACGGTAAAATAATACTTTCGCAAAGTCTGCCCTCTGTATATTTATACTGGCGTGCATTGAAACGCAAATGAATTTTCTGCAAGCGAGACAATTCCACCTCTCGGGACTTCGTCGCTCGTTGCGCCGACGCTCGACAAATTCTTGGTTCGCTCGAATAAAAAACTCTCTAGGGAGACGAGAGGTCGACTTGGGGCAAGACTGTAAAATACAGTACGACTACAGTATTACACCTTTTGCTGTTCATTAACCGCAAAGGAATATTCATTGAAGTGAAGAAGCATTTTCATTAGAGCGAACAGGCATACAATAAGGCGAACGGAGTCTCAATAGTGCGATGGAACTTTCATTAAGAAATTTAGCATTGAATTTGACAATCATGAATATGTTTGCGTGGGTTCATTACCGTTTTCAAACTTCATTAGCGTTTTGGTGCAGACAATAAACCACAACAAACATTCAATACAGCGTTTTGGACATTTATTTATAATGAATATTCCTTTGCGGTTAATGAACAGCAAAAGGTGTATTAGGAGTTTCCCAATCATAAGAAAATCACGGTCAGTAAGGAAATTAGTAAGAACGAGAATATCATCTTACTTCAGGACCCCAAACAAAAAACCTTGTTCTCTTGCTTCGAATCTTTGATCGAGGAGAACGCAGAAATTGACTCCGCTTTGTCTGATGCTCTCGACCAAGAAACATCACGTGCAGCACTGTCTACTGATGCAGTGACAACGGATTCCATGGCAACGACTTCGGCCACCGATGACAGTTCCAAAAAGACAGACGATCGTGGACGACCTGTACAGCGGATTTCTTCAAATGAAGCTAAGTCAAATTTATCCGAAGAAAGTTCAAAGATTAAAACAATTGAGAATACTGAAGACGAAGAGGATCTTGGTTTCAGTTGGTTTAATAGTTTCGATGATGATGAGTGTTTACTAGAGAGTGAGTTGTTGTGTGAACAGACCTCAGAGAGCACGCTCTCTGGTGTTATTGGTAAGAGTAAGAAACCAAGTATTTCTGTGTGTGGTGATGATGAGGTTGAGCCGTCTCCGAAACGATCAAAGAGATAATGTTGGGCTATGCAATGTGAATATGAAACGATAATGACTAGTTTGACTATGGATATATATGGGATTCGTTATTCTTGTTGGTAAAACGTCTGATGTATCACTAGATGGTTAAGTTTTTTCACTATTCAAGCGATAAGAGATAATTAACGGTGAAATGAAATTGAGAAACAATGGTCTAGTTTATTGTCTTTCTCTCCTCTCCTCCTCTCTTCCTCTCCACCTTTCCTCTCCTTTCCTCTCCTTTCCTCTCCTTTCCTCTCCTTTCCTTTCCTCTCCACACTTCTCTTCTTTCACTTCCTTCTCTTCTTTTTTTCCCCATTTCCTTCTCGTTTTCCATTATTTCTCTTTTCTCCATTTCTCTCCNGTTAATGAACAGCAAAAGGTGTATTAGGAGTTTCCCAATCATAAGAAAATCACGGTCAGTAAGGAAATTAGTAAGAACGAGAATATCATCTTACTTCAGGACCCCAAACAAAAAACCTTGTTCTCTTGCTTCGAATCTTTGATCGAGGAGAACGCAGAAATTGACTCCGCTTTGTCTGATGCTCTCGACCAAGAAACATCACGTGCAGCACTGTCTACTGATGCAGTGACAACGGATTCCATGGCAACGACTTCGGCCACCGATGACAGTTCCAAAAAGACAGACGATCGTGGACGACCTGTACAGCGGATTTCTTCAAATGAAGCTAAGTCAAATTTATCCGAAGAAAGTTCAAAGATTAAAACAATTGAGAATACTGAAGACGAAGAGGATCTTGGTTTCAGTTGGTTTAATAGTTTCGATGATGATGAGTGTTTACTAGAGAGTGAGTTGTTGTGTGAACAGACCTCAGAGAGCACGCTCTCTGGTGTTATTGGTAAGAGTAAGAAACCAAGTATTTCTGTGTGTGGTGATGATGAGGTTGAGCCGTCTCCGAAACGATCAAAGAGATAATGTTGGGCTATGCAATGTGAATATGAAACGATAATGACTAGTTTGACTATGGATATATATGGGATTCGTTATTCTTGTTGGTAAAACGTCTGATGTATCACTAGATGGTTAAGTTTTTTCACTATTCAAGCGATAAGAGATAATTAACGGTGAAATGAAATTGAGAAACAATGGTCTAGTTTATTGTCTTTCTCTCCTCTCCTCCTCTCTTCCTCTCCACCTTTCCTCTCCTTTCCTCTCCTTTCCTCTCCTTTCCTCTCCTTTCCTCTCCTCTCCACACTTCTCTTCTTTCACTTCCTTCTCTTCTTTTTTTCCCCATTTCCTTCTCGTTTTCCATTATTTCTCTTTTCTCCATTTCTCTCCCTTGTTCTTTACTTTTCCACTTTTTTCCTACTGACATTTCATTAATCAATGTAAATATAAAACTCTTTGCCTGACCAATACATTCTAAAAACATGACAACGCAATTAATTTATTTGTTCATTTAAAAACATGAAATTTCAATATTTTATCTTCCCCTGCTAAGTTTAATACCAATGACAAATAAGCATGACAAACATGGTACCTATACTAATTTAAATATGTGAATAACGTCATTACACATCCTTAGTTCATATTATTAAAAATGGTACAACTTTTTTGTCGGTACAACTTGTTATTCTTTATTACTTGCTTTTCTCTACTTTCCCTAAAATTATGTTCCTTAGTAAGACTACGGAAATGGGTGGGAAGGAAAGGAAAAAAAGGAAGAGAGAAAGAGAGAAAGAAAAAGAAAGGAAGAAATAGAGAAATCTATATTCATCAGTTCATGTTTGTTGCATTTTGTACCAAATGTTTAGTTTATTGATTCACAAAAATTAAATATTTTTGTTTCAGTATTTAATATATATCTGGCAATTAAGTTTAGCGTTGAAAACCGATGATTCATTGCCATATTGAACCTTAAGTAAAGTCTATATTTGAACATAGTTCAGTGGGGAGCGAAAGGGACGTCTATGAAGAAAATGGACAAAACTAAATATTACTGTAACATGTTTTATTCTAATTTATACAGCGATTATTATCAGAAATTTGGCATAAGCATACCCCAAAATATTCTTGTTAAAAAAATGAAATAAAAAATGTGGTTCACGGAATTGGCATTCGAAATTTTTTATCCTAAAGAATTAAAAAATGAATTTACTTCATATTTTGCCCATCAAAACATTCTAATGCGAAGAGTGCGATGAGCTCTGGATTGAAGAATGAGAAAACGTACAATAAAAAAAACGGATTTAGCATGCGTGTTTGCAACCACTGATTCAACCACGGCTTTTTTTTACTGTAAAGAATACTTTAAGAACTGGTTCTATTTTCATAGTAATTATTTCAGTTCATTCGAGCGAATGAAGTAAAACCATGTTTTCTATTGGTTGTTTAAGTAATGTTTAATAAACGAGCAGGAGTGTTTTATCGGGTATAAAACACGAGGCGCAGCCGAGTGGTTTTAGACCCGATAAAMCACGATCTGCGAGATTATTGAACGGCTTAGAAAACTTATGATGTTTGTTCTCATTGTGTACCGATTTTTTTACGAAATGAACCAAGTTTGATAGAGAAAATCCAAGTTAAAGTTTATGCAAATGAAGACGAATCTTTATCAGATTTAAAATCACCTTCATGGTCATGATTTCTATTGTGTTTTCTTCATGAATTATGAATGAGTTTTCTAACACCATTTAGTACTAAAAGTTAGTATTTGTTTCACGGGTTTAGTGCGTGCACTCTAATTGTTTGCACTCTATTATTACGATTCATGATTATTTTAACTAATATTATACTAACACACTTGGCTGTTGTCCAGAGTGTAAAAACATTACACAAACATTTGCTTTTATATATTAATTACGTAAGAAGGAATAAGAGCTTCAAAAATCTTTGGGTAGCATTGAACTGGAAATTGATGGTTTTTACGGCGGCCATGTTGGAGGAACTTAACAAAAGAATTGTCAATGAATTCTTTTGTTATATCCTCCAACATGGCCGCCGTGTCTTTTGTTATTTAATTCTCTTGGGAATGGTTGAAAACCATCAATTCAGGCGTCGTAAGACATAATTTGTCTATCTGCCACCTATCCTCAAATCTTCCTCGTCTCTCACTTTGAAAACCGTTATAATTCTCACTGCATAATTAGTTAGCGCGGTATTGCACATGTGCACAACGGTCGTTCGAAACTTCGGAAGCCTAATTTGCTCCCCCCCTCCCCCTCCCTCCTTTAGAGTCTGGTAGCGGTGGTCTTCATTTCCCTTTTCCTCGCTGTTTATCTCACGTTCTCGCCACATGACTTAATTACTGCGACGTGATCATACGTAACCGCTATTAGTGGCATCACGCACCATTCAGACCCATAATAGAGCGTTTTCACTCACGTCACAAGGCAGCCATATTAGTATAACAAACAATAAAAACTTTCTGCACAGTATCTGCATAAAAATAGAGTTCACTTTCCCAAAGATAGAAAATGTATTGTTTTGGTGCACCAACATGGCCGCTGTGACATCGCGTGAAAACGCTCTGCGTAGGAGACCAACAGCATAAGGGCCATTAACAGCTCTTGGCGTTTAAATGTTCATCATAAGATTACATCCGATATTCTAAGGCGTACCTGAATTATGCTTGGACGTGATATTATTTTGATTAGTTATCCGAACTGTACACTGGGGAAGTTGTGACTACGTCTACAAATATTTGCGGCCACGAGGTTAACTATTCAGGCCTTAAGTGAAGTAAACTGGGCTCAAATATACAAACGGCAGGAAATCCTAAATGAAAATAAATTTTGTAGCAATTAGACAATCTTAAAAAGAACGAAAAATACATGCTACGAATAGGAATGCATTAACTTGGGCGTAATATTTTTTCCATTTAAGACCACGTGTCATTCCCTAGAGTATCATTTCTTTGTTTAACGGTGGCGCGTGACAAGACACATTAACATGGATACAACTGAAGTAAAGAATCTTATGCTCAAGAGAATGAAAGTTGGTCTGAAATGAATAAAACGGGAAGCTAAAACTGTCTGTTGGCTAATGTTGAAATTTGTTTCAAGTTTGTTTTTGTAACAATGACGTCGCTGCCACGTCCGGTTCTCTCGGGTCACGAACGAGCACTAGCTGATAGTGGTATATAAGTATATAACCCATCGTTAGAAAGACAGAAAAGCTCCTGGTCGTCTAAATTATGCACTTAAATAGAACTTATTATTTTTCCGTCGATTCTTATAATCAGAATATATCCCTGCATAAATAGAATGAATATATATTGCAGTTTTCTATCCTTCAAGGACTGTTACATATGACATGAATTACTGTTGTGTTCTGGCAAAATTCCCTTAGAAATTCATTAAGGCATATAAATAATTGCTCCTGGTGAGTGAAAGGTTGATCAAAGTTGGCATAAAGTATTGAACTTTTAATACCACCCATATTCTGCTGGCTAAGCTACATTCCAGTTTCCTCTTTTACTCCGACGAAGGACTAGCGTCCGAAACGTCAGTACGTTTTTTCATCTTTTCACGGTGTATAATTTACCTTTTCATCATTACTGTTTCATTAGAAACACCGACGCAGCTCACACTAGTTTTTAGCTAGTTATATCTTCTTACATTTCAGTTTACCAAGTTTATTAGTAGGAAAATTATTATGGCATTTAACGGCCGGCACTGAATTACTCAACAACACTTGAATAACATCCGTTATGTCTGGTGCAACAAATGCTTCCTCCTGCTGCTCTGCCAATACTCGATTCTGCTTGCATGGGTCCCGCGTCAACAGGGACTTCCTCATACCATACTACTTAAATAGCTTTATTTTTTTTAGACCGCACATTTAAGTCCTAAGAGTATGGTGCTGTCGTGAATTACACCACCACGACTTAAAATTGATTTCGGATTGTTATTGTCTGATTGCATGATTCTCCTTTCTGGGGGAAGGTTGCAACAGATACCTCAACATACCTATATACCGTAACACTAAGATGGATTTTTATTCCTATCACAATACCCACAAAATCGCAGCAACAGTTATGTACAGATAGACTTCATTGGTGATTTCCACAGCCGCCATGTTGGATGAATTTAACAAAAGATTTGTCATTAGTCTATTTTGTTATATCCTCCAACATGGCCGCCGTGTCTTTTGTTATTTCATTCTCTTGTGAATGATTGCAAACCAGCAATTCGGAAAAAAACCCTGATACTTTAAAGTTAGGGAAACTGTGTGGACTTTTAATAACTGGCCACTAAGTAGGAATTCATAGCTGCCATCATTGAGTATATAAGAGTTCCCTGATAGAACTTCATTTTTCCCCTCCAGTTTTCGTCTCTTCGCAAAAATCGGCTTTTAAATTCCAATTTGATCATGAAAAGGGCACTGGCAAGAGAAAATGAACTCTGGTCAGGTGTAATGCCTATGAAGTGCCATTTTTCATTCTGCATAATACTCGGAATTGCCGTATTCATATCGATCGAAAACCTCTGAAGTGTTGTTTTTTTCATTCACTCAAGCCAATTCAGTGCTTCATTGTAAAGAGTTGTTAAAAGGCTTAATTATTTAGTACATATTATAACAATAATCCAGTTTTCTTATTTCTTTTTCAGTCGTTTGTTTATATCTTCATTCTCATTTCATTTGTGCTTTGGCGCTGTATTTTTTCTTTTCCATTCTTCGTAGCTGCTATTTCAAACGTTTAATATAAAAGTGAGCTAAATATTTATTTTCACAATCATCTGAATAAATAAAGCTGGTTTTCAATATGCAGATTTGACCAGATTTCGCTTCCATTAAATTATTTTACGAGACTTAATAGTATTATCTAGAAATAATCCTTTTTGAAAGGGGTTAAGACGTATTTACGATATCGAGGCGACTTCTCATCTAATTCTTCTAAAAGCTCTCACAAGATGCACCAATATTTCAAAATAGCAGTAGAATGAACTTCATTATAACAGAATGGTGTTAAAATGTCAAAGAAAACAGATTTTTACAACCTTAATCAAACAAAAACGTTAGCATTATATGTCACAAAACAGTTGTCCTTCAAAACTATCTTAGCCTGAAAATGTATGCTTTTTCTATAGAGTACTAAAACTAGGCAATCAACAAAAGAAAAGAATGTTTAATATGTATGTAATAGAATAGGTGGACTCGCTATAGTCTAAGATTAGCTCAATTAGAGCTATCAGTAACAAGATGACACTGTTACCCTACACGCCCACCCTAAAGTACTTTATTTTATTTCGGAAATAGATCCGGAATCCGATGAAATGTATGTAATAACTCTTTAGCGTCACCAAGCAGAAATCCTCCCATAGAGTCCAATATATATAGACATTTTAGGGCTGTCTTGTAATCAGTCAGTATTAGCGTATTCGATGCAACACAAGCTGTAAGTGTTTTGCATAAACAATAGCGGGTGCTTGTATTAGAGTTGTTTTATCAACATACTCCTGGATCAACAGGTATTTTAATTTTGTTTGAAGCATTTGGCGTCACCTATTCAATTTGCAACTCGCTATCTTATTCGTGGCGCAGTCTTGGCGAGCGAACATCGTCATCTTCATCCCTTTTCACAAGGGTTCTAAGGTATGAATTGAAATGAACTTTTCTTAGGTACACCGAAAATATAGGTTCTTAAAAAGTAACTTAAAGTACTTTAATTTTGTGTTTATGAAAGTAAATCAATAAAATAATTGTTACTATTGTTTCTTCCGTTTCGCTTCATTTCTTCGACTCCATTTCTGATTGCGTGGTTTCTTGTTGCATTTTCAGGTTGGCCAGCAAAAAGTGCCTGCCAAAAACTGTAAATGAACAGATACTGTAGTAATCCTTGTGTTTATTACTGAGCTTTTTGATATCTGCAAATTGCCGCCCATTTTCTAAATTCTTTTTTTGTAGAATAGCACTATTATGATTACGAAATCTTAATTTATAATAATACAACACTAGATTAGTGAAGACACTAGCCACTTGGTCGTATTTCGTTTCTTAAAGGATCCGATTTCATTACTGCATCATTTTTAGGTTCGTGACGCGAGTTTATTCGAATAAGAAATCATTATTTGGCTTAACCGTTTCTTAATTTGCAAGTGGTATAAATAATTCGCTTCTCAAGGAAATCCTACGCTCTTCATTACTGTTCAGAAGACGGAGTTGCTCGCTGGAAGCTATTCGAGGAATAATTGTGCTGCAGTCTCGTGTTGCTCTTTTAATAGGCAAGCGACTTGTAATACCTCCTAAAATACAAGATGAATGTTCTACTCTTGTTCATGCTCCTCGCTGGTTTATTTACCAACACTGCCGAATCTACATCGAACGTTTCTCGAAGTACAAATTGCTCTCTTGAATATGCATCAACCAAAGACACTTTGGTCGTGAATAATTCTACTCAGAGCTTTGTACGCAAGGTATTCGAGCAATACTCAAGCAACGGGTCAAGTGAAATAACTATAAATGATTTTTATGGCTTACTGGAAGCTCTGAGAATTGGTGAGGTTTATAATATCACGAGTACTAATGCAGCAACGACAAGTCCCGACGAACAGATAGAAGGTCTAACGCGAAGTACAACAGATCATCACGACAAACATCACACAAGCAACAATGGCGATACTCATCGAAGGAAGTACCATAAAAATGTAAGTAGTATAAGTTTTTTTAAGAGCCTGTTTACGTGAACTTCAAAGATAGATGACCTTATTTTTATGAGTACATGCTAGTCGTGTGTTTTTCTCTACGGGGAATTCGAAACTTCGGAAAATGAGCTCTGGGGTCGGTGAACTTTGACGTAAACAGCCATCGAGTTCAACGCCTCGAACGAGCTTTTCAGTCTAGTATCGTGACAATATCCTGCATAGACTTTACTCGTTTGAACGACAGCCATTAATTAGTCTAATCTTTATGCATCATATTAACAACTATGTTTATGTCTTTAAATTCAGTTATACTCGGTTCACTTTGAAATCATATTGCGTGACTCATCTCTTAAACAAACATTTCATGGAGGTTTTTATATACGTAATTTTATAGAAACGAAATATCGGGAATAACCAGGGAGTAGATTGTAAAAGTGAAAAAAGTTAAAATGACGAGTTTGTCACTTGAGAGGATCCAGAAGGGGGGCCTATCCTAGTCTCGTTTCCCAGCCCTCATTTTGACCAAATCCCATAGTCCCAGCTTATGTTTTGCTCAAATCTCAATCCCGTTCCTATTTTTAGCTTTTTTTTTTTTTTTTGTTTTTTTTTTTTTTTTTTTTTTTTTTTTTTTTTTTTTTTTTNTTTTTGTTTTTTTGTTTGTGAATCCCATTCTCAGTGCATAGAATCTCATTTTCCCAGCCCAAAATAGGCAACTGATTCAAGCTCCCCTTTTACCCCTTAACGACCCTCGCTTGAAACCGAAAAGGGTCAGCCAAAGATCGAATATCGTAGTGGGAAAGGAACAGTGCTTTTACTGTAACCAAATGGAAATCCAATCTCATTCACCCGTGTCTCAAGGAGAACATTTCTAGTTTGCCCTACAACACGGCTGCCGTAAAACACTCACTTTATTTAAACTAAAATGCAGATGTACATACTCAACGCGGATTTAATGATAAAGCATTTCGGCAAACGTAGTCGCTCATTTAGAGCCATTGTTTTCTACCCTTCTCACTGTACACAAAGTTTGTCAATCCTACTCCTAGGGACAAGTCTATCACACGAGAAAACAAAAAAAGAAATGGCCCTAGGGCTAGCAATAGTCATCCTATCTTTAAGTAAAGCGGCTCCAACTCCTCAGTAAAGAGGATGATAAAGTAAGCGCAGAGACACACGGTGCTACAATGCACGCAATATTACAGGCAATGTCGCTAAAGTAGATTGTTTTCTAGACATTGCGTGCAACAAATAGGCCATTTGCAGGAAATAATCACTTGACTGTTGCTGGATGGCAAAAAAAAAAAAAACGGACTTCCCTTATTTTAGTAAATAACGTTTGCTGGATTACTAATGTCATATCAAAACACTTTATCAAAATACTTCTTTCCCTCAAAGAGATACTTTTGATTTGAAATCTAAAGTTTGTTTGCCTTCCAGCAGAGCCTTCCCCAAGGGACCTTTGGCTGAATTGATTCGTTATCAAAGCGATATACAGTATCAACTGTCGACTGTTTGTTTCAAATCAGTGGTCTTTTTCATCGAGTGGCATGACTCGCAACATCGATTGGCTGCACCATTGCGCGCAATGTTGCACCGTGAGTCCGTAATGTGTTACCAGTTCCTTGAATCTAAGAGCATTGAACCTTCTAAATGAGTGTTTTACAGTACTGACATGCAGCTTTGTTTGCAGTGCATCAAAAAAGAGAAACTACTACGACTCCACCAGATCAACAAAGAAAAAGGGATCAACGTGAATGATTTTATCCAGCTGTGTCCTTCGCTCGTCTACGAAGTGCAAAGTGGTGCCTGTATGCATATCGAGAAAGAAGAACATCTAGAGAGTCACGCAGGCATGACCCTTGAAGGTTAGTCCGGTGTTATTTGAGTTAATTTTCGTGCAACTAACTTGTCTCTCGAACAAAATGTACAAGCTTTCTACGTGTGCACTATACGTTTGACTGACAACTGGTTTGAATTTGTGTTGCAGAAAAAGTAGAACAACCTTTTACCTTTATGAGACTTGCAACATCGTTTTTTGCGATGCAAGTTGCAATGGAACTTGCGCTCTTAAAACTCTAGTTCGCGCTTGAAGCCGAGCTTCAAGGCAAATCGTAGCGCGTGACAGGAGGGACTTTACTTACTTATTGAGTACATCAAATGCAGTTGAACCTCGACAGCGGACACCTGCGTAATAATGAGATCATCCTGGCTTGTTTTTGTGCTATTGATACGCATTTTCTTGGACACTCCTCTCTAAACTAACCTGTTTAATACGGACACCCCGCTATTCGAACACTTCGTTTTGTATGCATTTACTCTCTAAACTAACCTGTTTAATATGGACACCCCGCTATTCGAACACTTGTTTTGCCCATGTGATATGCATAAATTACTCTCCTAACTAACCCGTTTAATACGGACACCCCGCTATTCGAACACTTGATTTTGTATGCATTTACTTTCCTAACTAATCTGTTTAATACGGACACCCCGCTATTTCGGACAATTGGTCCATTAATGTGTGTATTTCCTCTTTAAACTACCGGTAAGCGGCTAAAGTACGACTACGCATTTCCAACCCTGGTATTTGCCGTATCTTTTCCCGCTCATAAATACAAAATTAATTGTCTATCAAAACGTCGAATCATTCATTTTTTCAATCTTTTTCCCCCACAGTATGGATGTACGGTTTTGTATCGATTACTGTTATTAGTCTATCATCATTGTTTGCCATCGCTATCATCCCGTGTCTTGGCAAGACCATCTACAACAAGGTCATGTCATTTCTGGTGGCTCTGGCTGTTGGTACCCTCGCAGGTGATGCCTTTCTGCACTTGATACCACATGTGAGTATATAAGAAACCCATAGGCGTATACAAGGACACCATGCTTATAGTCTCTGGCTTTCTTTACTTACCTTTACTTCGTTGTCCACTTTTTTGGATAATGAACGTGAAAATTTTTAAAAATGAGGACACTTGAACCGTGTGAACACCTCGAGTAATTTTTTTTCCAGTTTATTTTCTGAACTTACTACCTGTTTCAAACCCTCTAGAATGAAGCATCGAGTTCCAAATACACCGAGTAATAAATCTTATTCCAATCCGATCCAATTGAATCAAGGGGTGATTTGCAGTATGCAGTTTAATAAGTGACAAACAATTGAAGTGTTAAAGGGGACAGATCCAGGGATACTGAAGGAAGTCGCTTGCCATTGTCTTCTTCAAATACAAATACATACAATACATACTTTAATTGAAGTTAAAACGAAGAATAAAAACCTCAGGATTATCAACGATGGCTGTTCTTCACCTTAACAGTATAAATTGTATTCCCATGTTTGTCTATGCGATCTTGGGCATTTGGTGGCAACCTCTCCCCCAAAAAAATTCCTAAATCTGATGGTTTGCTTAGACCAAGTCTAGTTTGAAGTGTGGTGCTGTTGGATTATTTTCTAGGCATTCCTTAAAGGCGTTCATATCGAGGAACTTGAAGGCCAAGTACATCCTGTCTGGAAGGGACTTGTTATTATGGGTGGTATCTACGTGTTCTTGATGATGGAGATGCTCATGAAACTAAGGATAGCAAAACGTGAAAGAAAGCAGGAAAAACAGGAGAAGAGTCAGCACCAAGAAGAGATAACAAACGAGGTTAGTTAGTCGTGACGATAGATGTCTCCATCCTCTTCAAGGCAGGGTGATTAGTACTTCTGGTAACTCTTGTTCTTGTTGTCATCATTTGGAAAGGAAAGGAACGACTTATCCCTTTCCTATACAGATGATCAAAAACGCGTTACCAATACTTTCATCATAATCATTGTCATTATTGTAGCATTGTCATTATAACACCCCCATTACTACTACTACCACCTGCTACTATACCCACTGTTGTTGCTGCTGCTGCTTCTGAAGCCGCGGCTTTTGCTGCTCCGAAGTTGCTATGTCGTACTGCTGCTACTATTGCTACCTGCTGCTAGTATTGCGCATTCCATCAGTTTGAGCGCAGATCGGCACGTACACGAACAGCCCGTTTTGGGGTTATGTTGTTGCTACTTTAATTATTCGCTTTTTGTTAATCAGGCTCCCTCCCTTTTAATATTTTATTACCTGAAAAACGATACATTTTTTTGTGATGCAGGACTTCCCACAGTCCATACCTTGCCAGATTATTGTGGATGAAGTTCAGCCAATTGTCAATCATACTCACTGCGTTCATAGTCACTCCGACTCAGATTCGAGAGACACAGGGCTATATTCACCCAGTAGTGCCAACGAAACCGAACTACTGTCTGATTTTTCGCAGTCTGATGGATTGGGTTACGGGATCCCGCGAAACGATAAATGGAAAATGCCTGTGTATACCAAGGACGCGCCCGGAGGATCCGATACTAGCTCCAGCGAGAGCGATCTACGCGTAATAGCCAATGGATTTAAATGCGAGGGATCTTTTCATGACATGAAGCAGCTGCCCATCAAGCCTTCCTGTAAGTCTGACATTGATTTAGGAAACAAGGACACTGATGCACATCATCATCATAACCATCACCATGGACACAAAGAGATCTCTACCTCGACGCCCATAGCATCGGTTGCCTGGATGGTAATTGTTGGGGATGGTTTTCATAACCTTAGTGATGGCTTGGCTGTTGGTGCTGCTTTCTCTAGTTCGATTACGAATGGCCTCACCACTGCCATTGCGGTCTTGTGCCACGAGCTACCTCATGAGCTTGGTATGTAAATTCTAAAGTACTGATGTATTATCAAAACGTCATCACCAGAACGTCTTCAACTAAAGACGTTATCCCTGCTCTACTTTTGTTGATATAAGGAGAAGGGAGTCGGGGAAGGTGGAGGAAGACAAAGGAAGAACTCTCTTAGCCCAACCACGCCCTTAAACCTAGCCAATCACAGGGGACGTTGCAAATTCGTGAAGCCTAACCCGAACTCTCTTATGTTCGTCTCCCTCTCTTTTCCCTGACGGACTTGTTCAAATGATGATGTCAAAATTTCGTTCTTAAGTACCTTATTACATGAGATTTTTTGTCATCACTCTCATGATGACTCATCGCGTATGGAGGCGCATAGGGCCATCATAAAGCCTGTGTAGCGGCCCACAAGGGATGGAGGTTGGGGGGAGGGGTTGGGTGTCCTGTTAGGAAAGGGGAAAACTTAATTTTATCGGCACTTCGGCAATTCTCATCGAAACCACGTAGTGGAAGGAGTAAAATATCGCTGCGCAGACTACAGTTACATCATTCTTTTTTTTTTTTTTTTTTTTTTTTTTTGCAAAGAATTTTTTCCAAACTGGGAGAACTTCGGCGGTACCCTACACTATGAAAATCGATAAATATTTCCAAGAGTATTTAGTTGAAGTTTATAAACAAATTTATAGTATTTTCCATCTTACTTGATTCGTAGGAGATTTTGCTGTGCTCATCAAATCTGGCATCTCCTTTAGACAAGCACTGGTCTACAACGTTGCATCCGCTTTCATCTCATACATCGGTTTGGTGGTGGGCTTAGCCCTGGGGAACCTTGACACGTCTCATGTCTGGGTATTAGCTATTACATCTGGTTTGTTTCTGTATATATCATTGGTCGGCATGGTAAGTGTTCATTTCCTACTATTGTCAGGGGAGGGTGGATGTCAGGTTTTTTAATCTTGATATGCCGAGAGGTTTTAAAATAATTCCTCCCCACCACCCCTGCAAATGGTTGCATGCGTCAAAGTTTGGCAATGTTCTCCTTCTTTGACTAAAATAGTAAAACCTCCCCTTACTCAACCCCACCTATTTAAACCAACTCCCTTTTGAACGACAGCATTAGAGTCAAGATTATTGCAATTGGAAAGAGTCCAAAATGTTTATTGCATTGAGGGATTTCGGTAGGGGAAGTTGGAGTGTAAATGAGACATATTTAAAAATATGTCTGCAGTCGGTTAAAGGTTATCTTAATTGTAATTTTGTATGAAGGCAAATGTTGCCCCACCCTCCCCTCCTCTTTTCTAATATGATTTAATGTTGAGATTTTTGCTAAAGACTAAATTTCCATTCTATCCACACAGCTTCCTGAGCTCTCCAGTTACCAATCCAAAGGCGGAGGGTGCTCCATATTCCTATGGCAAAATGCTGGCATAATCACTGGCATCATTATTATGTTGGTTATCGCCCTCCTGGAAGAACACTGATGACAACTATTTTACCGCGCTCACCCCATAACCAAACCACTCCACATACCGAAGCGCAAGACTGGTATTTGCACTTAGTATTACCACTGTTTTCATTGCTAAGCGCTGATCGAGAAAATAGTCGCGAAAATTAGGTGATATACTGCCTTCAATCAGAATAGAGCGTTTTCACGTGACGTCTCAGCGGCCATGTTGGTGCACCAAAAAAATACATTTTCTATCCTCCGGAAATTGAACTCTATTTGTACTCAAATGCTGTAGAGAAAGTTGTCTGCCTTCTCACGTGAGTGAAAACGCGCTTATATATAAAGGTACATGAGAACGATTTCACAAGTTAGACTGCGAGAGGTCCCACATTTCCCTTAAGACTCACCGTTCAGTCTCGATCAGCCTGTAGCAATGAGAACATTGGAAACCATATTTTATAAACATATTTTCATATCTTATCATACATATTTTTATTCAATAATAACAAACATTATTATCCCAAAAATATTTAGGCCTTCTCCAGACGATTCATATATTGATTAATTTTTCGTTCATGACCACGTGACACAGGAGTAGCTCTTTGATTGGTTAGCAATTTTTAAGTGCGCGAACCAATCACAAAATAGGGGGTTAATTTAATTAAGTAATTCTTATAATATTACAGCTTTAGCAGTAAATACTGCAGTTTATAGGGCTAGGATGACATAAATGCTAATCCTGAATCTTATCCAAAGACAGGGTTTACATCGTAACCAATCCTACACGGGTTAGCCCTATGCTTTGAACAACTGGGCATTCAAAAATTCTGGAAGGAATCCCTTTGATGAAAATGACCCCTTCTGATGTCCTGGAAATCAATACTGAAAATATTTTGATACAAGAGCATGATAATATTTGTATTTCAATATAAGCAGTTAAATTTCGACTCATTACATGTTCGCACTTATACGTTTCATCTGTTTTATATGCATTGATTTTCTTTATCTGGTCTGTTCCTGGTCAAGGAATGGATAAATGGAGTTCGGAACCAGGACTTACAATTTGAGCATGTCTCCTGCTTGATTCCCTAGCAATCATAAGCACAAGCAACATATGCAGCTGTATCGTTAATACATACCATACAAAGGTCTAAGAGATGACAAATGCCAATGATAAGCAAATAACAATCAAATAGATATTTTGTCTATCTTATGCATGTGTAACCAGCTAGTGCGAACCAAATTGTTTCAAAAATAGCATGTAAATACCACAAAATTTTACTACAATAATATATAAGGGAAATGGGAATCAATTGGGAATTTGTAATATTGAAAATCGAAAACTATTTCAATCGCGATATTTTAAATCACCAATTTAAATTTGTAAAGAATATAATATGAAATTTAGAATATATTTTAAAATTGACAAGTTGAATTTATGGGGTTTTAAAAAAGAGGATTTTGCAGTTGTCAATTTGATTTAAAAGAATTTATGAATTTATGATATGAATTTTTTCAAAGACATATGGGGTAAATCTCAGAATAAATGGGTATTGCAATTGATAGATTTGGAGAGGAAAGCTCTTGCTAGCTCCCAGTGACTTCTCAGCTACTGCTCTTCAAAGCTGTAAAAAGGCCATGCCCAGGCACCAGGGTTTTCATCGAAAAATCATTTTTATTAAATAGTTTTACAGAATTTTACTTGCAAGAACATATTCTAACTTCATTTACAAACGCGTAAATGAATAATCGTCCCCAAAGCCTTCGTTCTATTCGGTCAGCGAAAGCAAGTTTAATAGCATTTTGGAATGCAATTTAGAAGATTTAAATTCCAACAAATAATAACCTGGGTTCTAGATACTTCTTCCGTTAACACGAGAGATCCAACAACCACTGGCACGTCACAAGAATGCCTCTAGAACTCAGCGTAGGATACTGGCAAGTAATGCTTAGACTTGCTCATAATATTGTTTCAGGGCTGCGTCTTCGCGCTGACATAAAAAAAAAAAATTAGAAACTTCTAGCATGAAAAGAAATAAATATCCAAGCGTAAAATCTGTTTTTTGTGGGCGGTGAGAGGTAATAATACAGGACCCACCGAAACAGCTAACTTGCACTAGCTAGTAGACTGGCTTTGAACAATTCAGCCCTGGCTTTAAGGGACGAGGGGAAAATAGTTGAATACATAAATTTAATACAAGATTCATTCACACCATGCGAATGCGGAGAAAAACTTTTGAACGAATTGTTTTAAATTTGAATCATTCCAATTTAGTATAATTTACGTAGATTTTTTGTGAATGTTTTTATTTCTTTTTCTTTTAGAATTATTCGCAATTAATAATTTTGAGCTTTATTGCGTTTGCCTTATTTTATCTAATACCAGAAGTTTATAACTAGTTATGAATTTCTGCCATTACTAAGCACAGGCGGATTTAGGGCGCCGGATTTTAAGGGGGATGGCTGTCACCTTGATTGAGAAACATCATATAATCATAGATTATCCTTTATATTTTGTCGTTATTTTCAAACTGACTCCAAAGGGCTTGGTGTAAGCTACTCCCTGAATCTGCCCAGCTGCTAAGGAATTTCTGTTAGAAATCACTTCAGTTTCATTTTAGGAAGCACTTTTTTCGTCTAATGCAAAGCATTGTAGTTTTACTAGCTTGCCTGCAATGCACGACTGTGAGATATTAAGCATTTCAATGAAATTCTTTCAACTTGAGGCATTTATTCACTTGCATCAATTTATATATAACACAATTTCTGAAGAAAATTTGTCAAGAGTATTGATTGTGATAATCCGGCTCCGCTGGAGTCTCAATATCACAGTTTTTTGTTGTGTTTTTTGTTTGTTTTCGCTTTGCATTGAAATGCTAATTTCTTTATCGTCTGTTACTGTTACCTGTCAGGATTTATAGAGCTTTTAAGTTGGAAAGTATTGCCTTGTCAATGGCTCACAAAAACTACTAAATAAATTAAAAGCGAAAAATGTTCTCAATGATTTAACCTCCACTTAAAGCAATCAGTATAAGTTTGTTAAAAAATATTGTAGACTTTTAATTACGTGTAATGACTTTCATTTCACACTTAAAAGCTCTATAATGATCGTCACTTATACAGTTTTTATTTATTGAGGAGCAGAGGGCAAAGATTCTATTCCCTGCTCTAATAAATAAAGGCTCCTTAGTATAAATGTCACATTAATGAAATCAAATCTTGTTATAGATATGCATTATATACTGTATAACTTGCTAGTGTTTAATTTATTTTGCAATTGATTGTGTTTTTATTAGTGGAATGATTTAATAAAAATTACTTCTAAAATCAAACAACTATTTGTTTGTAAAGATATAACGTAGGCTTGCTACACAGTTTTATTCCCAAAGTTTCTTTCAAGAATTCACCATCTTACCCTATCACCCTCTTGGCAGCAAAATGGCGGCTCATTAGAATTTATACGGTAATTTTTAAATTTTAGCTTTTTGAATTTTTACCTTTAATAAAAAAAACGTAA